AGCTCAGTTGGTAGAGCGTTCGGCTTTTAAGTAATTATTACTTAGGCAAGGATAACCGAAATGTCAGGGGTTCGAGCCCCCTATGAGGAGTTCTATCTTTTTTTGAATTTTCAAACACCTCATTCGTTGAAAGTTATAATACTCTACTTAATCGAAAGACATTAATGCTATAATTTTATGTATTTATTTTACCTTATAAAAATTTTCGAGTGGAATGTATATTCATATTTTACTACATTTATAAGATATATTCCAGCTCAGCGAATATTTTCCTAAATTGGAGAAATGAAAGTTATTATGCTTATACCTGCCACTTAATATAGTATATAAGTGTAACACTTATTTTAAGCAAATTGGAGGGGACTAAACTGTCATATTACTTTATATTTTTTAAAGCAGCGGCTACTTCTGCTAAACAGCCATATTTTTTATTCCTACTTTTAGTTGACGAGTATGAATCCCAGCTGGAAACATTATTTGAACTATTTTCTAGATCATCATATATGGTTAGAGAGGAGTCTTGGAGATAGTTTTGATATAAATTATTCATGAAAGTTTGTACTTCAGTTCTGTTATAGTGAACTTTGTTTGGTTTACGGTTTGATTTCTTCATTTGTGTAGCAGGTCCATTTGATGGTCCTTCCTTTAATACATCTATTGAAGTCGATAATTGAAGATGTGGACTTTTCGTTTGTGTGGTTATTCGATTAGGTGCTGCTTTTGTAGCCGCCTGAGCCCAACTTGTTAATTTGGGCTTAGTTGATACAGAAGGTGATAATGCACCACTTTTACTAGGAGGTTTCGGATTTCTATTCATTACGTCAAAGCGTCCTTATAATTGTTGAATTATGAGTGAATTTTTTAATAGTCGAAACTAATTAAAGGAAGATATATAGTGAAACTTGGTTTTCTTGATGATCAAAAAGTGAACTTGGTTTGAATATATTGGGGAGCTTTCACATTGACATTGATGTCGTTCCGAATACCGGTACTTATATAGGTACTGTTCGTATTATGATCCACTTTAAAACTGATTCTTATATTCTTACTTCATAATTCATTCCTTTTTGATTAAATGATTTGATCTTTACCTAAACGTGTGCTGACTACTTCTTCAATTTAATTTTTATATTTTTTTCTCCTACACAGTCAGCTTTTTTATCTTCCATTCAATTAGCGGAGTTTTGGTGAGTTTATTCGCTCTCGACGAATTTAGTAATAACTATTAAAATAATGTCATAAAACCTATGTAATCAAATATGTATATATTTACAAATGAATACTTTTGATTATATATATGTATACATATATTTACATACCACTTAATTTGTTTTGATATATTTTTATCTTAAAATGTTGTCCATAGATTTAAGGAGAGCAGTATCATCATTATTGTGTATTTTATTTTCATCATTCTAATCTGTTTGACATAGCAAATTAGTAGCAGATGAAACAGCGGAATCTTTACTCTTGGAAGACAAACGTTCGATACCCTGTTGTTCGGAATAACGAACAGATTCAGGTGGGACATTCGTTTCGTTAATGGCTTTAGAATAACCAATTTCTTTCAATTCTTCAAACATCTTATCTCTTAAATCCTCACTGAATTTAGCAATATCGTCCTTTTGCAAATTCTCGGTACTAATAGGATCTAAAACTTTGACGGTGATGACACCTCTGTTAAAAACATGGTACTTGGAATTCATCAGAGTACTGGTATTTGAAACGACAATTGGTACGATTGGAATTTTACCTTGTTGAGCCAAATGGAAAGCACCTTTCTTAAATGGTAAGATCTTTAAATCAGTAGAGTAAGATCTTGTTCCCTCTGGGAAGATCCACAATGCTCTCTTCTTTTCCTTGATGGTTCTTAATCCGTCATTCAAAGTATCGACACTTTGTTGTCTATTTGATCTATTTAAGAAATAGGTACCACTTAAAGCCATGAACCAACCTAAGAAAGGAATATATTTTAAAGAAGTCTTAGCAGTAATAGTACAACCTGGTGGGAACATTCTACCTAGCATCAAAATATCTAAAGTAGATTGATGATTAGACACAGCGATGAATGGTTTTTTTTTTAATTTTTCCTCGCCTATAACCTTGACATCAATACCCATAATATATTTCATAGCATTGTAATAAAATCTGGCAGTGGTATATTGAGCTAGATGTTGTTTCCTGATCAAGGTACATATAATGGATGCAATAGTACCGTATAGGGCAGATATTAACAATACGATAACAGCTAGGACGACCCTAGCATAATATAGAACTAAGTTCCCCATTTTCTTAACAGTAACTTTGAGCTTAGTATTATTCTTGTTAGAAATATTTATTATGGAAATATTAAAAGGATCAAAAATAGTCCAAGTAGATGTTAAAGAACTTATATATAACCATTTTGATTTGTTGTCAACAAGTGTATATCCTGAAACCGTACCTATGTTAACGTTGTTCGTGGCTGTCCCTCTCTGCGAAAATTACAATACAAACTTCTCTCGATCTACGCAAATGAAGAAAATTGAAAATTTCAAGAAAAAAATCGTTGAGCGTTCTAAATTTCAAAGCGGGCCTTTCTCTCTGTGTGTTTCTGAATGAGTATCTGAATTATAGTCATATATTAAGGTGAAGATGAACAGTCTACAAGGCAAACGGCACAACAACAACAACAACAACAACAGGGATTCTTTCTAAAATATAGCTTTATACAACAAGGTTCTTGACATTAACATTATACATTTAGAATATCATCACTTCGTTGTAATATTTCAATTATGTGTTAATTAATATATACTGCCTCCAGTGGATACATCCCTGCTGGCTAATTTAATTGTGCGTTATCCTCCGCCTATCGCATTTTATTTCCGGCACAACGCGGACAAACTTTGGTGGCGGAAAATCTGAAAATTTCAAAAAATATTGAAAGAAAAAATCAAGAAAAAAAAAGAAAAATTTCAATGCTCATCTCAAAAAGTGATCAAATCAAGTCAGGAATTATTATTAGTTTTCTTCTGTAAAAAGCTTTATATATTGTTAAAAGTGAATATCTTAATACATTAGTGTTGACTATAGGATACTTAAGTTGATCTATTAGATAACTTACGCTTCGTCAACCTCATATTTTTTTTTGATCAATAACATCACACATAATGTCCACGGAATCAGAAGCCAAACAAGAAAGCACATCTAGACGTGGTTCCTTTGCCCCAATCGAATTCACTGATGATATTTCTAAGGAATGTCTGAAACAGATCGAATTCTATTTCTCAGAATTTAATTACCCATATGACAGATTCTTGAGGACTATGGCCGAGAAGAACGATGGTTGGGTCCCAATTAGTTCAGTTGCTACTTTCAACCGTATGAAGAAATTTAGACCTATCGAAAAAGTTATTGATACTTTGCGTACTTCCGATATTCTAGAAGTCTCTGAAGATGGTGAAAATGTTAAGAGACGTATTCCTTTGGATTTGAATAAGGATAAAGAGGCTAGATTAGAACAAAATAAGAGGACATTGGCTGTTATGAATATTCCACATGAAAATGTAAAGAGTTTGTCTGAATTACAACATTCCTTGGAACTTCTTTTCAGTAAATTAGGTGATGTCAATCAATTACGTCTTCTAAGAGTTAACCGTAAAAAATTCAACGGTACTGCTTTAGTTGAATTTAAAACTTTAGAAGCATGTGAGAATGTTTTGAAAAACTATTCTGGTTCTAGTGATGATGACTCAAAGGAAATCTTATCCTTTGAAGGTGTAAAATTGGATATTATAAGTAAGAAACAATACAATATGCAAAGAGAAGCCACTAGATCTAAGAACTTTGGTGGATCTGGACAAAGATCCAGATCTTTCACCGGTCACAGAAAAAATATGCCAAAATTGACTCCACCAAAGGAAGCAGAACAAGATGTTGCTAATGCTATCATTGGTGAAACTGAATAAGAAAATTCAAAGTAATAGAATGCATTGCCATCATTTACATTTGAATTAATATTTCAATTATTAAGCATTTTATATGTATCATAAATATCTCATCACATATATGTAAAAGAGAAATATCGTTTTAACCATCATTATACACGATTTTGCATTGAAAAATATATATATAATGTGATTATATGTCATATTATTTGGTTTGAACATATTAGAATGTGTTCATTTATGTATTTGATAGTTGTCAATATTACAACCATTATGAAAGTAATTGCATAATGGATAGATAGTCCGTACATAAGCAGCTCTGAAAATAAGCAGCATTATCCGTCCAAGATATATTTTAAAATGGATAGTCAAAAGAGGAAGAGATACTGGAGATAGTTTTGATAAAAATATAAAAAAAATTAATCATTCCAGTTCTTTCCTATTAGTTATTGGTATGATGTAGTCTTCTTGCAGTCAGAGGAAATTTAACATCTGAATCATATGTGCTATATAGTTTTAAAAGAGTGTCGATTGATTTATCTTGAATGTTATGATTATTAGGTAATTCTTCTAAATCTTTTGTAAGTATTGGCACTCTTTCATAAATTGGTTGATTTGTAATAGTGTTCTTGAATAATATCGTTGGAGTGTCTGTACTATGGGCGGAAGCTGTGATTGCCGATTCGGGTTCTTTTGTAAAAACCATCAAATTGTGGGCTTTTTCTTCTATTGGTTGCTCATTGACTAAGCTGATGTATATAGAATTTTCCACATTATCATATTCGGTCTGTTTCACTAATTGAAAGAATTGCGAATAAAATTTTTTGGATTTCTTGGTTGTTGTATCTTCAGATAAGATTTCAATAGAGCACAATGAAGTATTATCCTGGCATGAACCATTCGGAATTCTAATTTTAATCACGTTATTTATGGTATTTCGGTTATAGAATTGTCCTAATTCTACTGTGTCCATTAAATTATTGCCACCTAAATTAACTGTCAGTGTCAATGTATAATTAATATTATCATTTTGGTTTATTAATTCATCCATATATAAGTTTAGCTCGTCATTTATATTGCCTGTATACTCAATATATTTAATTGGTTCAATGCAAACCACACCATTGGATTTTACCAATAATATAGAAAAAAATAAGGATAAATAGTTCCAAAATGGACTTAACAACATAGTGATTTACACCTTATGTATAATTCTATTTTATATCAATGTATAAATCGTTATTTTTAGAATTAGCACATTATGACTTAGTTTAGCAAGGAATAAAGATTGAGCAAAATGTGAAGACATCTGGCATACGGTAGTCATATATATATATAAACACAGCTTTGAAGAACGAAGGGGACTTTCATGGAGTACGAAACTTTAAAGCACAACATAAAAACCCTTTTTCGTAAATTAATGCCTAAATGATACACAGTACATTAAGAGTAAAATTATATTCTTTTTTTGCTTCTAGTTTTATTGTTGTTAAATTTGACTAGGATGAAGGTGAAGAAGAAGAAAATGAGAAGAATATGGTAATAGGTTACAACGTAGCCACAGAAATGTTTATTTTACCCATACATTATCTGCCTGGCAACACTGTAACAAAGGTAATTTACTAAACTTTCACGTATATGCTTTCTTAGAAACAATAAGTCCCAGCTAGTATCAAACCAATTCCATTCATGAATTTTTTATCATTTCTTCTAAATCTCTCTGTACCAGATAGATAATCCATGAAAGTACTTAATATTGCAGCTTTTTCTGCCCTTCCCCAGGAAGGTTGAAATTTTGTAAGATGAAATAATTTGTAAATCGTATTCCTCGCGCCAGAGAAAATAGCGCAGAATAAATAATTTTTCAACAAAATGAACAAACAGGGAGATTACACAGCACAAATTAATAATAAATACAATTAAACACACGTAGAGAGAGCTTATATAATTAAAAATTGCCAACTATAGTTTGTTCCTAACTGAAAATAAATGCTTTCAAACAGAATAGAAAATGTCACATTATGCATATAATAGGAAATATTGAGAATGACTATGAGTACTATTACTAGAAGCATATGTAGAAGAACAATTTTATTGTTATGTTGGAGTTTTTCATATCACTAAGTAAATTATATTATTATTGTTAACAATGAACCTGTATTTATTTAGTTAAAAGTTCTTTCAATGAATTATAATGTTTAGGTTTTTTCTTGTAATTAATGTATTTAAAAAAGTGTCAAGATCACGTTTAAAATGACAGATGGGGCTAAAAGCATCCGGTTACTTCATATGCAGGTGAGTGGAACTATATATTTATTTAGAAAGATGTATGTAATCGTACACTTATTAAATTTACGTTTTCACAAGTTAATATGAGAAGAAAAAATCTAATTTTTACTTGTATTCGTTATGATTTGACTTCGCTTTTAAGAATATTTGACAGTATATTCTGTTTCGTTCTTTAAATATATTTTGAAAAGATAATATGGGAACAGTAACAGCAAGCTGTAGAATCCTTGATCAAAGATGTTTTTTATGTTGTATAAAAATTCGTTAATTGGTGATGGGTTATATATATAATGTATATGCAAGTATATGGGTTAATACTTATGTGTTTCGTGTCTATAAATAAGTTGTTATTGTTTTGTAAAGAATTTAGAAGCGTTGCAAAGAAATTGATCCTCATAAATGAAATCGTCAGTTTGTGTCTTCATGCTTTTAAAATGTATCCGGTACAATTAAAAATAAAAGTAAAAGAATAAAGTTGGCTATTATTATTCTAATAAATTTTACCTGTATGAATAGCCACACTCTTTGTTGACATGTTCGTTTAACCAAGCATCGACATTTTTGAATGCTTTGCCGCAATGTTTGCATTTACCTGGTACTATGGCACGATCTTCTTTCTTAGTTTTTGGTGGATATTCGAAATGCAATGCCTTCAAATGGTTCTTATAAGTGTCACATCTAGAAAATACACCAGTTTGATGACAATTATAAGCTCCATTTGGAACTGTTCGTGTGGTTCTCCCAGGATGGATATCAGTATCTAATTTAATTAATGTAGAATTGAAAGGGCATTTGTAAGCACCTTCGATTTGATACAATGAGACTAATTCTTCATTTTTTAAAGATATTTGTCTCTTAACGAAACTTTCACTGTCTGTAGGTTGATTCACTATTCTTTCAGTAGATATGAATTTATCCTTCCAATGACGTTTCTTGTGTCTAATCAAATCATTACTTCTACTGAATCCTCTGTTACATTTAGAACATTTATGAGGTCTGTTTTCAGGATTTAAATGTGTTGATTTGTGAGTGTTTAAATTTGCATAATAGTTATGACAAATTGGACATTCTTTTCTTTTACTAATCTTACTTTTACTATTTTTCCTAGTACGTTTAGGTACTGAAATAACATTAGGCATATTTTCTCCACCAGAGACATCTGGACTAGTCACCTGACTAGGAGTAGCACTGTTCAATAAGGTAGATAAAGATGGTATAGAATTTGTATAATTACCATGATCTATTAATGAGCTAACATTACTATCATGACGGCTCTGTATGAATGATGTAGCAGAAGGCGATGATGATAATGAGTCACTAAAACCAGGAAGCGATATCGTACCTGATATACCTGAGGCAACGCTTGTAGCATTGATTAAATTATCAAAGGATGAAATGGGTGGTAAAGAGATATGTGAATTGGATCGTGGTGGGATAGGTTGTGGCATTGGGGTATGTTGATGATTCACTAGCAGTGAACTTAGCTTAATGGATCTGTCATTCATGGCTAATAATTTATTTTATGAAGTCTTGAAAATAACAGGATATTGTTTATAGTGTGAGGGGATGAAAAAATAAACTCTTAATTTTAAAGAATTTTATGCTTATAAGATTATGGATGGAACTTCCCAAGTTTTTACCATTACAGTAGCGTATATAACTAAAGATAAAAATATTAAAAATAAAATTGTAACGATGTTTAAACAAAATCAAATATCACAAACCAATAATCTAAAATAATATTGAAAGTTCAAAGTTCAAGAAATAATCAATGAGGTACCGAATATCATTGAGACTTATGATATATATATATATATCTCGATGTATTTATTATATTCAGAAAGAAGAATCAAGAAAGAGAGAAAGAACGGACCCCGTAGAATAGGATATCATTCTTAATTTATTTACTAATATATCTTCCTACTCGTATCCTTTTCATTTTCAATGTCTCTGAATGAATATCCACATCATCGCTATGTCTATTATTATTATTATTATTAAATAATTATTATTGTTATTAAACTTTTTTATTATGGTGAACTTGATGGCTACTAAGAAATGTTGGAAAATACGCAGACACACATACGTACATATCCAAAGATTTTAATGTACAACAAAATTAATTATTATGGGGGAAAGTTGATTTTGTGAATGAAGGGTATGCCATTTACGCCTATCTTCCGTTTCTTGGACAATGTCACTCATTAAAATCTCGCATCGAATTTATTTTAATTTGGAATTTATGTAAATATGGAATTTAAAGGTACTGAGACTCTTGTCAAATCGGTAGACAAATATCTGTGAGAAAAAAAAACATTTCAAGAAAAGGATAATAATAAAATATGATTAAATTAAGAAGGCTGCGATACCACATAATTGGCAAAAACTAATTCTACCCGTCATTAAGGTGGGTATTATTTGAAAATAAAATACGTAAATTAAATATCTAATAAGATTTATACGTACGAAACTCCAGATTAATTACTATTCCACCCGTCGCTACGAAAGACTTCAAAATATATCAATAACGTGGATTGAAGAGGTGATCAAAAACGATTATGTTATCTATGTCTTTCCCATTCTATTGCTATGGAGAATTGCAATCTTCTGGTATGGCTCTTTCTTTCCTTGACTGATTCTTGGATTCGTACCGGAAATTGAAAACAAAACACTCTGTTAACCGCTCAAAAGAAACAAAAGATTTCTACTTCTAGGTTCTTGGTAGATTTTAAGACAGCTCTTCTTCTTTCAAAAGTTACAGAACCAGAATAACCGGAATAGATATAGAGATTACTATTGGTCACGAAGTCATGTGACAGTGCAGCCTTCCAACACGGGCAGTAGGAATTTAATAGCAACAAAAAGAAGAAGAAAATTTTAAGAACCGCGCGCGTTATTCTCTGTGATTTTAAAAATTTATGCTTTACAAAATATTATGTAAAAGAAAAATCGTTAAAAAATAACGCAAAATATAAATTCTTATCTAAACTTCCAGTCATTTTCCCAAAAAAACCTCTACCTGCGATGGGTACGATCGTCCTTACCATTTTACTGGTCGGACGTCTGTGATCCCCTTTTCTACCGAAGAAATAAAAAATAAACTACGAAGGATACTAATTTAGAAAAAGAAAGGAGTGTCCATTTTCCTATTATAAGACGTGGCATGGCTAAGAAATTCCCGCGAGGTGATAGATATGGCGAAATGCAATATACATATAATAAAATGGAAACCTGCCGTAAACGGCTCAAATAACATAAAAAACGTCAGGGTGAGAAGCCTACTACCGTTGAAGTAACAACAAAGATTCTACAATAACTTCTAAACCGTAATATCAGTTAATATGTGAGTATATTTTTCCGTTTCTCATTAGATAACATGTGGGAGATGGCGCCGTTCTTTCCTCGACGACTAACCCCAACATTAAACACGGAAAGGAAAGGCGTTAATAAAAGTATGCCCCGCGCAATTCTCCCCTAACCCCCACGTCTTCATTGCATCCTGCATTTTTTTTAATATTTTATTTTAGATCACGTGATTATTTCAACTAATCACGTGATACATAAATTTATAATATGAAAAATTTATGATTATCGTGCAACTGTCAACAAAAATAAGTAATAACCAAGTTTAAAGTTAACAGATGGGATTTTTCAGCTTTAAATTAAAGGGTACTAGTTGACAAATTCGACATGTTTTTTGCACATACTTCGTTAATTGTACTATACTTGAAACTATATAATGCTTTTCTTTCTCAATAATAATAGGCAGAAAGTATTGAATATTGTTGGTTAACAACATTTTATTCGAGAAATAGATTGATTGACTAGATCAATTGTTAGAAGAACTTTTTTTATTATCTTAAATTCTACTCCTTTAGGGTTCATAAATTTAGGTATATAACCAATGAGCTTCGATAATGAAGGTAATAATGATAAACATGAGGTGAATAATATTTCCTTAGACGTCTTAGAGACAATTGATGGAGAGAATTCATCAAGTGCTGATGAATTTGAATCAGCCAGAGAGAGATCATTTGATTCTACTAGCAAAGTAGATGAAGGTGATACATTGGCAAATGAGGATACTTACGATCCGAACAATGAAGATAACAGTAGTCCTAATCATAAAAATATAACAAAAGATTACAATGAGAGAGAAAAGCACATAAGGGAATACGAGCTGAATATGAAACCTGGAAAGCCGAGCCACCATTCAAAAACATTAAGAGTGGTGTTGCCACCGAGATCTGTTGCAAGAAAGGAGATTCTTCGTGAAGGAGTGAAAACTTGGTACCCGATTCAATTTTTGATTAACAGTACAAAATTGTGTTGGACACACTTCCTTGCACTAGATGAACATATCCGGGTAGCCAAGTGTAAAAATTGTGGGGAAGTTATTAGAAATTCTTCTATATCTCGTAACAAGCCATTGACTAAAGATTTCAGGGCACATTTAGGAGACGTTCATGATATTGGGCCATGGAATAATTACTACAAGTCAGAAGAATCGAATAATGCAAAGGAGATCCCAGTCGTCCCCAGCGTGCTTAATCTCATTAGAGATGAAAATGTTAATGACGAGAATTATGCGACCGTATTTAATCCTTATGGTACACTGGAAGGTCAAAGGGTTATACTTAACAGAATGTTAAATTTAGAGAGTAATCATTTCGGCAAGTTCCAATTTTTAACTTTAATTTGCATTTTGCAAAATTTTAAATTCGAATTCATGGAAACCAATTTGTTTGAGACATTATTAGATTTGTTACATCTAAACATAAGGATCAATTCGCGATCGTTAATGGAGAATGTGACACATATAGATGGCCAGGTGTTAAGTTTGGTGACAAGATGTATCGCCTATCATGCAGAGAACCTCCCACTTACACTAACTAACGATAAATTTGGTGATGACGGAAATTTTAACCGTAGCGCTGTAGAGACTTTCATTAACAGTGGGTTAAACCAGCTACTGGAGATGCCCTTGTTTTCGATAGAGCAATATATATATGATGGTAGATTCTTGGTCATTACTTTGCAATACTGCGACAAGACATATTTTCAAAGGAAGTATATTCCATTGATGATTTCTCAAATTCCAAATGATGAGATACCCAATACATTTGAAATTGTTGAAAAGCTGAGTCGTATATTTAATGATATAACTGGCCTAGATAAAAGTACATTGTCCATCGTACTACCATCAGCAACAGATAATATACGGTCCTTGTTATTGAAGCAGCAACCTCCTTTAAAAGATATATGTTTTCATGAATGTTTTATTTCCACGCTAGTAGGTTCTCTTATTCCCTTTTTTGGATATATTTCAGGAAATATAACCACAAGTGAGATACTTTTACTGCACCCAAAGGATAGAACAATCATTGATAATTTACTGAATTTAGAAAATATTGAAACATATGACTCAATATTTGGGAAGATAAATCGTTTTTATCAAGAAATTAAAGATTCCTTAATTCTTCGAGAACATTTGAAAGATGCATGTAAAGAGACATCAAATTCGAATAACGAATTCAAATTTGAACAATTCGAAAAAACGAGACCTTCCACGGCTGTACACTTTTTACAATCATTTTTAAAGTACAAGGAAGAAATTATGGCTATAAGAGAATATTCATTAGAGGAATCGTTTAGTCTTGGGGATTTTGAGCTTATACGATCAATGGTGCAGATATTGTCTGTATCGTTTGATTTGATCAATTTTTTTAACGACTCAACCTCACAGTTTCATAATGTAATAGTGACTGTCATATCACTGCAGAACTATATAGAAATTATTTTGCAAGATGCTGTGGCTCAGAAAACAAGAAATTTTGTTAAAAGCTTTTTAGACGATATTATTGCATGTAGGAAACGGATATCGCAACATAAGGATACGTTGTTGTCGATATTTATATCTCCGAATATGGTCTGTGATAAGCAAGCGTTATCTATTTTATACCCTGACGTTAGTTTCCAAGATGTTTTAGACGATGCCGTTGAAATTGCCTTCTCCTTGCTAAAGAGATTCCTAATGGTAGAGGAGAATACTGAAAACACGACGATTAAGGATGGTGTTGTACCTAACACATTTGAAAGATTAGCATTTACAGATTTTGCTGATCCTGCTAGTGCCAATACGGATGGTAATGTGCTATTTGATTTAATATTAAAGAATCAAATAAGACGTGATTTTGGAGAGTTCATTAAAATTATCACTAAAGAATATGATATATTTTTTACTCAAAAATTAGCTAATACAGAATATGAGAAAGAGGACTCCATATTCAAAAACAAACACACTGGCGAAATACCGAATCCGGTTACAGAGTTATTAGAAATCCACCTACCGATCAGTAACGCTTTTTTGGAGAAGTACATGGAATTAGAAATAGGAATTGTTTTTACAGTAATTGTTAAATGTGTGATTGGCCAATCATCTAGCTCATTTTCTTCGGCGTTACACTATCTCTTTGAGTTTCAACCTGCAAACCAAGAAACTCTATTGGCAGAAATCATTAGAGTTAGAACATTTGCCAACCAATTTAATATTATGAATGTTGTTTGGGAGGAGGAGGATTTATTTACTATCTGCAAATTCCCAGGATTGCGCTAGTTAGTTTACGTAGAGGTACATAGAAGATATTCTTTTTTGCTCAAATTTGTAGTAAAACAGAGTAATCTTTTCAAGTTATATTTTTTATAAAAGTCTAAATTCTTCAACTTACTTTTTTTTTTTGTGACCTTTATCATTTTATTTCCTTACTTAATCTAGAAATTTTTTCCTTCTGGTAAACAAAAAATTGAAAATGACCATACTGTTATAAAACAATAAAAAACTAAATAAATTAAAATCATAAATTTTAAGATTAAATGTTATTGAATATGAGTATATAAATATACTAATGCAAGATATAAAAGTATAGTTCATTATAAGACTTACAATTTTAAGTATTGTAAACGTATTCGGTACTCACAAAGACTAACCCCAGAAGTCCAACGATGCAACAGTGTCGAACCCACGCAGATCCTCATAAGCGTATAATATCTCTTGCGTATTACTCTGCAGCATTCTAATTTTATCTCCCAAAATACAACGGACTAATTCGCCGTTTTCAATTTTCCTAATTTCAATAAAGTTGCTATCAAAGGCTAAAATATAAGGATACCAAATAGCAAATTTTTGAGGTTCGCCCTCCCAGTAAATAATATGAGAATCTTTCTTCCTCCAACCTTGATTATTAACAAAAAATGCGAACTCCGTGTAACATAATAAGAACATATTACCAACACGGTAGATGGCCATAGGTTTTAATGTGTCTCTTAGAGCGAACTCTAATGACGTGTCAGCTGGATCTAATAGTGATTCATGTGCACTTTGGGTAATACTAACAATTTGGAATCCCTTTTTACATCCAACACAAAGGTTAGCTTTCAAAAATGAGATGGAAACTGGTTCAGAATCAAAGACAACTTCTGTAATTTTTCTTTTTAAGTTCTTTTTATTACTTGCACTACTACCAGAAGATAGTAAAGGATGTTCTAATTCAAAAAATTTGATAGAATGAGAAGAATTATGTGCTGTCACGATTAGACGTTTACCATTACAATCTCCCTCCGAGAAAAAATTGACATGGTTAATCAGTTCTTTTGCATGTTTCTTGAAATAAGATGCGGCATTACCTTCCACATCAAGTAGCTGTAATGGACAGGAATACAACTTTTTATCAACCAGAAGTAAAATGGATTTAAATTCTTCTAATATAGCAGTTTGAATAATATTATTCTTTTGAACTAACAATGTTGGAGTCGAAAAGAAAGTCGTCTGACTCGCAGAGTTACTACTGTTAGCCGCTGATTTATCATTTGGTGTTTCTTGAATTTTCGCTTCCTTTCTCTTAATATTACCAACATACAGACCTGAATTTGTGGCAAGTAACAGCTTACGACCACCATCACAGGAAGTCACACTATTTATTTTGTTTGAATAATCAAAAAACTTGTCACTAATCTTAGTAATATTAATCATAGAGGTCTCGTTTATGATACGCTGCTGTTCTTGTTTAATTTTATCGATCAATGTCTGCAATCCCGCAAATTGGGGTGCGTATAATGTTACTTGATATCTCTGTTTTGCACCGTAATATAAGAAAGTGAGGGCATTCTTCGGATTATTTGAATTATACTCAGGTTTTACAATAGTACCAGATGATGCAGGCGAGCTTCCAATATATTTTCGTAACGGAGGCATATCTTCAGAGGGTGAAACAAAGAGTAATGGTAGTGGAATAGGTCTTTGAAATACTTTATGCTGATGCCATTTATTGACAGCCTTTGCTTTTAGAAACAATAACATATTATCTAGGAGGTAGAATTGAATATCACCAGACGCAGTTGCATCTGACTTTCCAGTCTCCTTTCTCGATAGTATACCCTCATGCACAATCTTACGCTTCTCGTCATTTAGACCCATATTAACATATTCATTTTTAAACAATATCTTTTGTTTTAATAATTTAACATCATGTCTATCTTGGGCTGCACCACTGGCCTTATCTATTCTCTTCATGAATGTCTTTAATGATTCGGTAGCTCTCTCTAAACTTTCCATATCACGTTTATCCTGGTCCGGATTTGATGACTTTAAAATTTCCCTAACTAATAACATATAACGCCCTGGTCTAGAAACACCTTGAGAAAGAAAAGAATCAATACCATGTCTTAAAGATGAACTCATCATATCATCATCGAATCTGGCAAAATAAGGGTTTACAGACCGTTGCGTTTCGATTAAATATTTAGCATAAGGTCTGGAAGCAACATACGAAATAAATGGTTCAAAAAATGGAACAAACCTTAGTATGATATCACCGATTCCTCTAACTACAGGCGAACTTTTCTGTCTATCAGACAAAGCTTCTAAAAATCTTCTATTCACAGAATATATATCATTAATATGGGCGAAAACATGTCTGATAAAATTCTTTCTAATATCAGCAGGGATAATGTTTGTTTCTGCAAGAGTCTTCATAAAAGTGTCTCTTGTTATCTCCAAGGATTTCACAAAATTTTTCTCAGTAATATAAACTTCATAGATGGCTTCTTGTCTCTTAATTTCTTTTTTTGATAAATCTTTCCAAATTTCTTCAGACACAGAACTTGTCCAGGAAGGTTTCTCCTCCTCATCGTCATCTAGTGCCATGGATATATTTCTCTTTAACCCACCATTAGGCTTCAAGTTTAATCTAGCCTGTTGTTCTAGACGTCTGGGACATGAAATTGAATAACATAATTTATCCCTGGAACAAGTTGGCGAATAACATTCTGAAAGTAAAGTAAAAACACCATTGACATTTGTTGTTTTTGGAATGACTTCCACATTTTGTTGTGAGGATCCAGAGACTGACGATGGCAATGTCTGTTGGCTCATCCTCCCATTTGTGGGCATACCCGAAAGCGACGTCGAACTTGTCTGGTAGCTAGACAACGATGAAGTGGAACTAGACATATTCAATCCTTGGCTACTTGTTCTTGTAAAACTTGTTTGAGTAGATGGGTTGGACATCATCATTAGTGGATCGTGTGTTGGTTTTCCTGAACCAATAAATCTAGCATTATCTGTAAATTCATAAATTTCAAAAGGAGAGTCACGTAACCGGTGCTCATATACCACGTCATGGAACAATTTTTGAGCATCGAGAGATCTGCCTAATAATAATGCTAAATTTCTATCATTAGTTCTAATCATTGCACATAAAATATCAACAGCATGTTGTCCAGTAAAAGCATCACGGTACAATAACCCGTCTTTTTTATATTCTCCAAGCCGTATCATCGTCCTGAAGCTTTGAGCTACTCTAGATAATAGAGCTGGGTAAATATGAGGTTTCTTTACAGAGTGAGATCTTGCGTGAGAACTTTGTTTAATCGCAGAAACAGTTGAGGATGGTGGAGTAAAACTACTACGTCTATAATGATTCTTGTGTCCCTGATGTAAACTACTTTGACGTTGATGATATGGTAAAGAAGATCCAGAGCTTGATGTAAATCTCTTTGAAACCAAAGAAGCTGATGAACTCCGTGTTTTAATACCTAGCCCAACAACCTGATTGTTCTGACCATGTTGAATATTGTTTGAATGACCTTGGGTTGGGTGATAGTTATTATTATCAGAATATCCAAATGCATTTTGAGATGTCGCTAACGGACTACCTGAAGTATCAAGAAATGGATTTGTACCATGTTCTGTCAAGTTTTTGTTATCCAATTTTTGAGATGATCTTCTTGATTGAAAATTTGTAGCTATCGACTTTAATGCAGATGAATTCAAAGACAATGAACTTGATGTCGGCGTTAAATGTTTATTATCGTTATTATTTGAATCTTTATCTCTAATTGTTCCATTATTCAAAATATCATGATTTTGCTGTGGTATGCGAGGAGAATATTGAGAGCCGTCTCCCATTTCTTGAAAATCTCTTGATGTTGATCTATGAAACAAACCAAACCCCTGAAATGGGGACTTCTTTTGTGTAGGTGTATTAGATGGACTAGAGAAACTCGATTGTTTCTTTAGACCAGCTAATGCTAGATGTGGTAGAGAAGGCTTTTTCCTTGGTAAAGCATTTTTCTTTACATTTGTAGTTTGTGTCTTTTCATATATATCATCTGTTGGAACTTGTACCTGCACTTTTTGATTTGAACTATTTTTGCCTTGCAAAGTATGAGTGGAACCAGTGGATGAAGAAGAGGATGAATACATAGGATGTGCACTCTGATGATTGTTACTATTCTTTTTCTTATTCGGACTGAATGGATTTGTACTAGTTGACTTGGCTTGTGGATGAGAGTATTGATTTTGCAAACCCATTGATGTACTCTCGTTTCTATTTCCATTCTTTCTTGGACTATTAACAGGTGTATTATCTGCACTTGATAAACTTTGAGTATCAGGTACGTTTTTAATTGTGGTATTCTGTGACAATATGAATGCATTATCTCCAGATTCCGACCGTTTATCCTCTCTGGACCTATTTGCTAATATGTCATTTGTGATATCATCCATTAAAATATTATCGAAATTGCAAATCTTTAACAGTTCATTTGCTGTAACTTCGTCATCATTTGATTTAAATGTATCGTCAAATCTTTTTGTACCGTATATTTCAGAATAAATATCATATCTTTTGTTGGAATCTGTAATACTAACCATCATATGTTTTAATTAGATTATCAAATGGAAAAAAGGAGAAAGTATATCTTGTTTGATATTAAGAGATATGAATGCTATTAATAGCGTGCAATAAAAATTAGGAATTAATGATATGAAGATAAAAAATAAAATTATTAATAGATTAACAAAAGAGTATTAGGTTTAGAATAATAAAATAACACCGAACCCAATATCAATAGTAACGGTAAAACTTTTCTTACTTTTTTAAAAATAATGACGACACAGCTTCAATGTGTCTACAATCCTAATTGAGAATGAAAATTATTTCAAACAATTGAAAACTAAAAAGAAAAAGGTAATTGAATATAGCTTATTCGTTTACAAAAACAGCTTATTGATAAAATGAAAATTTAGCCGGTTGCGATTAGAATAATTGGGGGTGAAAAGCTATATAAAGAAAATTTATAATGTGATAAAACTTCACTTGAAATGAATGATTTCAAAACCGTATTATTATTATTATTATTATTATTATTATTATATGTTCTATTCTATCCTATCTAGTTGCAGCTTTCACTTTCCTAGTTTCAAAGTAAATAAAGTTTTATGTTTTAATATAACCCAATTCGATATATATATTTTTATATTTTTTTTTTGTATGTGAATATGTATTTTCTTCAATATTTTTTTTTTCATTTTTGTCCTCTTTCCATTTCTCGCTTGTTTTGTTTTCGGCATATCTAAATATATATATTTAGATATTTAAGCCATTTGACGTGTATAATTTCACAAAATTTTTAATTACGCAATTTTTCAAGATCTATTAAAGTATAGTCATCGAATATCTTATACTTCGGATCATCTGATATACCAATACTTACTTCTAACATAAACTATTATATTTGTTATATATACTTCTTTCCCCTAATGAGAATCATAACTGTTACTATTTTAATAATTTAGAAAGGAAAGAAGTGTAATGAGATCAATTGGAGAAACATATAAACAATTATATTATCCTATCTATTACATATTTAAACATGAATAACAACATCCACCTTAAGTTAGAAGAAACCAATGCATATAATATACATTTACAATCAAATGGATAACATACCATTTGGATGTTTTAAGCAACTGATGTGGAATAAGAGTTCAATGTCTTAGTTCTTAATCATAATAATAGTATTTTTCACATTCTGAGAAATACATGTTTTTTATCATAAAATACGGCACGCTCTGACGTCGATTTTCTTAATTAACGAACTACCCCTTTAATTTTCTTGCCTCTCTCTCTATCTTTTCTCAATGAAAGATAAATTCATTACGCGGACAAAAACCTCACAAATTCATAAGAAAAAACAAATATTAGAATACGAATTAGTTCAACATAGAAGAGACTTCGTCATTAGTTTGATAGAAACTTGCACATACATAATACAAAAACAACTTCCCATCTATATCTTTTATTCTGATATAATACCATATAAACTTCACGCAAATGCCAGTATGTAAAACAATCAATTGCAATAATGAATCACCCCGTTTAATATATTTCTGTTTTTACTAACAAAGATACAATATTTCTTTCTCCATAGGCTTATCATTCCACTTTCCCTGTCGATCCCCAAAATGACCGTATGATCGGTAATTTTGTACTATTACCATTGAACTCCAAATTTAGAGGTCCAGCATATCCTGCCAATTCAGATTATGATATAATTGATGAATGTCTAGATTTATTCCGTGCCAATTCATTCTTCAAAAATTTTGAAATTAAATCACCTGCAGATAGAGTACTCATCTATGGTATCTTATACATCAATGACTGTCTAGCTCATTTGAAAGCACAAACTTCTCACAATGAAGCTGTTAAAGTCTTAACCAATTTATCACTTGATAACTTTCAATTACCAGGTACACCTGGTTTCCCATTAAATAACGTGTATTCGATACCTGTACAGGATCGTAATCAAATGGATCTGTTAAAACAATACATCCAACAATTTAGACAAGAATTAGCAATGAGATTATTAGATAGAATTTACGCCGACTCGAAGGAACAACCATCTAAATTTTGGTTGGCGTTCACTAGAAGGAGGTTCATGAACAAGAGTCTATAAATATATATATATATATATATATCAACAAACAGGAATGCCTTCTTTTTTTTTGTAAAGTAACGAAATTAACAACTGATTAATGTTGTGAATTTGTTTGAATCAATCATTGTTTTGTTTAATAAGCCACTAACTCCATCATGCTATAGTACATAATCATGGTAGTAAATATATCCATGTCGTTGTTTATAGCGATAAAACTTCTCCAGTCCCGATATATTTCATGTGGCTCTCAAAAGCTGTAAACTATTATATTTCACTTAAAGTCGATGAATGTGCAAAAAATAAAATAAATATCGAAGTCATTTTTTACTAATATTACCGTATATAGAAGAGCACTTTAATAATATTATAATGAATTCGGAAAAATTAAAAAGAGAAGAGAGGCACGAATATTTTTTTTGAGATGTCGCTATATGTTACAGTCTATATAATACTTTTATATACAACCAACTTGATAAACTTGTATTAGAAACCACATAGAATATCGCTTCTCTCTCTAAATAGTTTTATTTAAGAAACACAACAGAGACGTATTAATAGTTGCATACCACCCTCCCATATCATATTTTTCAACTAAATGCAGATATTTTCATTAAACTCTAAGAAGAAGTCCCCGAAAAAGATAGTTCCAACAACAACATCATCATCTCGACAAAGCGACGATCTACAAAATTGCAATGATAGTAATAATACTACTAATAATACATTGAGCAATACAAAGAAGGATCCCAAACCAATAATATCCTATTATGATATTAGATTAGATTCACCATATAAGGATTTAATCTTAATTCAAGGTACACCATTGGAGTCAACGCCAATATCTCTCTCGGGGAAATTAATATTCTCTTTAAATGAAGACACAGAAGTTAAAAGAATTAGATTGAGACTAACAGGTAGATTTAAGTTAGAATTTTTACAAATGAGTCGAAAAAAAGGGACAGGTGGAATGACTAGTATAGTTAAGGAACAACAGACGTTGATTGAATGCGAATGGGTTAACTTATTAAGATCTTCAAAAGGTAATATTACTATTAATAATATTGGTGGATACGATAGTAATTACAACAACGATCGATCAAATGAAACTGTAACAAACACAAATACTTCTACTGGCAATAATAGTGGAGTCATCACACCAAATGAAACTGATAATCAAACCAAAAAAACCAATAAAAAATTTAAAATATCTAGTAAACAAGGGAAAAGAAATGCACAATTACTAAAATTACCTGAAGGTGGCTTCTCTGGGACACCATACATTGATTTAAAAGATGATAATACCAAATATACTTTTCTATTACGCAAGGGTAATTATGAATTACCATTCATGATACAATTACCTAGTGATATACCTGAAACAGTGGAAGGTTTACAAAGTAGTAGTATTTTATATTCTATGGAAGGTGTCATTGAACGTCGTAAAAAGACTAACCTAATGATGTTAAATGAAACCGATAAGAAAAATTTGAATGCAATTTTATCAGCTAGTAGTAGTATAATCAGTAGTGGTTATGATTCAAGTGTATTCAATCAATCATTGAATCTTGGTAGTAAGATATTTACAAAATACAAATATCTTAGAGTTCTCAGAACTTTATCGACGGATAATCTTGCTATGCAAGAAGAAATGTCTGTTGGCAATACGTTAACTGATAAATTACAATATGAAATTAAAATCCCAAGTCGTGCTATTCCAATTGGTGGTAGAACCCCCATACAAATAAAAATATTCCCATTTCAAAAAAATTATATGTTAAACAAGATTAGTGTATCATTAATACAAATGTATTCTATGAAGGATTCAGATAATCAGATATATGAGGATGAAGTTGTTATCAATAGACAAAGTATGACAGAATTTGGTGATCTTGTTGAAAATGGAACAAACAGATTAATTGATAAATTTGAATTATTCAGTGAAGTACAATTACCTGATGATCTTAGACGGGTTACTCAAGATTGTGATATTAAGAACGATTATATACACGTTCATCATAAATTGATATTTCATATAATATTAAAACGAACAATACCTGGAGAAAATACTCCAAGAAATTTAGAAATTAAAGCAAACATACCTATATTATTATTTGTTTCACCGCAATTACCCATGAAAGGTCGTTTAGTATTATTTGATCAAATGACAGGAAAAATACATTTTAGAGCAGGTAAACTTGTACAACTTTTCCCATTGATGAATAATAGTAATAATAACAATAATACTACAAATCTACACAATTTACATATAGACACTCAACATGAGATAAATTATAATTGGGTTGGAGATCAATTAGGGTATAGTCCTATTCCTAATAATAATAATAATAATAATAATCTTGCGCCACCACCAAATTATCAAGAAAGAACTAATGACCAATTGATCCAACATTTAGAAGGAATTATACCAACAACAGATCAAGTATATAATTCTATGACGAGACCTGGTCTGGCGGCTAATGACCTTGATGATGGCGGCAATTTCCAGATTGCGGATATTATTACATCAGAACAACAACCACAACAACGGCCATTGGCTCCAAATAGTAATAACAACGAGAATATTGCACAACGTGATGCAACCACAGAAAGTTATGAAGAACCACCGCCACTATTAGCTAACTGGAGTAATCAAAGTGATAACATTCCAGAATATAGTGAAACGCCATAAATTAGAGAATTAATACTATTAGAAAAGTAACTGAAAAAAGGGAGTACAAAAATAGAATGATGAAAGACGGAGGGAGAGGAAGAAATCCAGAAGAATCTATGTATACCTACCTAGAAAATGGTCGTGTAACTAGGGTTCTCGGAAATGTACACCCCGCATGTCGGCAGTGGGGGTACGTGCATGAAAGGGGGGTGAAGCGTTCTCAAAAAACTACGCAGTATGTAAAGAGAAGGGGCTATATCTGGCCCACACCCATACAAATAATATTTTATTGCTTGCTTTTCTTTCTCGCCTTTTGTCACATATGTTGTGCGGAGACTCTCTACCTCTCTTCTTTGACCCCCTCCCCCAAAAAAATAATAATAAATAATTTCGGACTGTTTTTCATTGTGCGCGATCTGCACATAATTTTCAAATACTCACTATAATATTCTGCTATTACACAGTATCTCTGTAGCAAACAGACACTCTCTGTTTACTATGGTGATCTTTCTTTTTTCCTCTTCTTCTATCATGGTCGAATATATGAAGTCTCTCCCCCCCGTATTTTACTCATACTCCCAACCAAAGATTATGTGTGACCTTATTTATTTCTATTTTGCGTGAATTTGAAGAGAAACTGGATCGTAAGAACAAGGGAGTTTATAATCTTCCTATGATTTGTTTATGCAAGAGTATTATATGTCCACACAATATTATTTTTTGCACACATATTGCTTACCAAATCAAAGTCCGTTTAGTTAATAATTTATTATTGTCCATTATTTTCTGTGCATTATTACAAACAATAACCCCCGCGTTTAATTGTTATTTTTTTTCGTTTTGTCTTGGATTTGATAATCTAACCAATTCTCCCAGTGGCCTCCTTAACTTTCTTCCTACACTATGTATTATAGGGAGAACAAGTGACATTCTGGTACACCCCACATAACATTAATGTAATTTCTGAGAGTTGACCGCATGAATAGAAATTTGCTTCATAATATTATTAGCAGGGAATCCGTATACAATGAATAGATGGCGGGGGTGGATTACTCCTGCAGTGAACTCATTCACCACGAGAATAGACAGATATATTCTTTGGAGATAAACAAAACCTAATATAATATAATTACTAACAGTAAGAATACGTGGACTCTCCCGGGTAGATGGAGTTCAGATAGAGCCGAAAAGAAAAATCAAGCTACTATTTTCTTTGTTCAGAGCAATTCAATAGCATTCTAGTCTGAACCTCTCATATCTACATTCCCGTTCTTCGGCCGGACAGATGAAGTTTCCAAAATTTCACCCCACTATAATTTTTTCGTTACTCAAGGATTTTATTTTAGTCTCTTTCTCTCTATGATTGATATTCGCCTCGTAGAGGAAGCACTATATCCTTGGAGCATAAGACATACCATAATACATATACAGATATCTCCACGGGAGGGCTAAATGACCAATAAAAACGGAGAACCCCACTACTACATTTACATGCACAAATTATTTATTTTCTTATGAATCTTCCCTTATTTTTTTGTTAAAGAAATACGAATGGAAGGACAAGTAATACAACTAAAAACTTGTGATTTATTTTCATCTTTCACTAAAATGTTGTACTTACTGCTGATCATTATACCCATTCTTAGGGACCTTTTTTCATGTTTTTCTTCTGCGAGTGAATCTTTGCATTCGTGTGGCTTACCCACTCGCATACATATCCAAAGATTCTGAACGTGATACAAGACATCTTAGTGATAGCCTCATTTACACACTATAGACTACTGACTTGTTCTTTTGCTTTTTCATTCCCCTCCTTAGCCCCCTCCCCCACTATGACGGACCCGACCTCTTCTCTGTCAGAATACTCCAAAGAAATCAAGAGTTATTTATTTATTCATTATTTGCAGGTTTAAATTACAGTTGCTATGAACTTTTAACTTCTCTCGATTCTGATGCGAATGAATTTCTTTATACAGACTCTCACACACAGATAGAAATGGAAAAAGAACAACAGTGGGAGACAGTAAATATTCGTTGTATGCGTGCATGTGTGTGTTTGTCCCTTAAAAAATTCAAATGCTTTTTTAATTTATTTGATTTCTCGTTGACAATTCGATAAATTTCCTGCTGTTTCATCTTGTATGTCATTTATTTTGTTTTTTACATTGGCATTATATTATCCCTTATATTATTAATTCGTGGTCCTTCCAAGTGGGGACTGTCTGTATGTTTGTTCTGCCCTTACCTTGGCTACCTCTCTGTCATTGCAATCAAGAAACGGAAAATACAATAAAACGAAGCCTTACTATCAAACCTTTTAAGATTTTTTTTTTGATATATGGGAAATAGAAGGGGAGAGGAATAGTTAAGAACCAGCTCTCTGCAACGTATATATATTAATGATTTGAGCATCCCCTCATCCCCCCACTCTTTATTATTATTACTCTTATTATTTATCTAAGAGATATTGAATATACTTTGTATAATTTACTATTCCATTATATTATTTATTGACAACATCTATCCACCCCCTCCATTATATAATTTCTTAATTCACCCCTCAATCCACCTTATTAGAAGTCATAGAAGTGTAGCTACTTTTATACTTGACTATATATAAACGAATATATATTCTTGGTTTCTAATTCTAATATTAATTCATTAAAATAAATTGTTATAACTAAAGGATCTTTGTTACTTTTTATATATTATTATGTATATATCTTTATTTATTTTTTCTATTTTATTTTTTGTTAATTTCTTGTGTTCAATAATAAATTTTGGTTACTATTACTTATATCTTTGACAAAAAGTCTGTTTTTATTATTGAGTCAATTTAAAATCATAAACACATGTATTTATTATCTTAATATATTCAAAACAAATATTAATAATAATCATAAAAACGTAATACAATCAAATTTTTTTTTATTTTTCGAAATTAAGAATAATGGCAAACTCTCAAAGAAAATATATTTGTTCCTTTTGCGCAAAATCATTCTCACGTTCTGAACATAGAACAAGACATGAACGATCTCATACAGGTTATAAACCATTTCAATGTAAAATCTGTAAACATTCCTTTGTTAGAAGAGATTTAGTTCAAAGACATATTAGAACGGTGCATAGAGTATTATTATTAGCAAGTAAACAAGATAATTTCGATCCTAACGGGAATAATTCAACTAATGATATCACACTCAACACAAATCATGAAGTAATATTAGAAGGTGCTGGTACTAAGAAAGGACATCGCAAGAATAAGAACAACAACAAAAAAAGAGATTTAGATAATAATGATAGTGATAATAGCAATAGTTCAGATGATCAAACTTTAGATGAACTAGTCCGCCAGATGATCCATGTAAGGGATTTACCGAAAGAAAATGAAAGAGAAAAAATGAATAACAGTAGTAACAATAATAATAATAATAATGATAATAATAATAGTAATAACAATAGTGGATCGCGAGGTCAAATTACTAGTAATGCTAGCGGAAGTAGTGAAATGGATAGTAGTAATAGCAATTTGAATAGCGCACGTCAATCTTCTTCATCTATCTTAAGTGACATTAACGATTTAACAAATGGTAAAAATACCGGAATTAAAGGTCAATTTTCAACAAAAAATATCTTAACAGGTAGCTCTAATAATAATAATAGTAGTACAAATGGACTCCGAGAAGAAATTGACAATTCAGTATTAAAGGATTTATACCTGAATAATGTTAATGATTCCTTTAATTCACATTTAACAACTAACGTTATTAATAAATTCCATTTGAGTTATTATTCTGATCAATTACTTAAAAATTTTAATTTCGGAATAACATCTCTAAGGGATAATCAACTATTTCTAAATTCTATTAGATCAATTTATGAGTCTTGTAATTATGATAATGATAAATTTTTCCAGAAGGCATGGTTTTCAGAAAGAGATGCATTTTTACCAATATTAGGTATATCGATATCATGCCTAGGTAATTTTACCAAAAATAACGTCTATGATCAGAATTTATGGATATTATGTTGGAATCAAGCAATGACAAGCTCTACTGAGCTCGGAAAACCCGATATTTTATCAATCTCAATATTGATGTACATTCTCTTAAAGACTCCCAATTGTGAAAAGACTTGTTCAGATGTATTTCAATTTTACCAACAAAGCTTATTATACATGATCAATCAATTGGATACCTCCCAAAGAATCGTCGATTTTATCGATATTAAATCCTTCGATATATGGAATATTTTTGATGCTTGGGTATTATTAACAAAAACAATTGATATATTTGATAATGCCTCATCAATTATCTATAAGTGGTTCTTAAAACAAAATAATCTTTTTGCAGGGTTTCCAGAATTAACTTTATTTGATTTCTTAAACTCTAGAAATTATGTCATAGAAGAAAATATGTCTTTAGCTACTTTGAATATTTTACCAGACACACTCTATTGTGAAGCGAATAATACTTTGTTTAACACATCTAGAAATATCTTCTCTGTAGGTAGTTTCAAGTCAACAGAAGAATTGCATAATATAATCATCAAGATTAATCAGAAATTTTCAAATTTGACTATGAAAAATATTATCTCTGAAACAACAGACAATGGTGGAGCTAAAAAGAGTAATGAACATCTAGTTAACGTTCATGATCCAAATTTCAATCTTTTATTCCAAGATTGGAAAAAGAATACCTTGTTATTAGGGGCTCCTACAAAATTTACTAATCTTTTAATCGATTATGCCATCCTGCCACAATCTAATAACCACTGGCTACTATGGGAATGTACTTGGTTCGAATTCTTAAAGAGTTTATCTCCGTCAGAATTAGTTTACAAGAAATCATCATTTTTAAAATTACAAATGTTACAAAATATTTACTTGGATGGATCAATGATTAACAATAATTTGGCCTTATGTACGACTCCTATAATTGCATCGTTAGAAAATTTTGCGAAGAATGAAGATTTATTCCCAATAAACGGTAGATTTGTGTCATTGATAGTCGATATACTATCGTTTCAATTAAAGTTTTTCTCAACCGAACTGGTTTCTTCACAGTTGAATGGCCCTACTCATATCATGGGATTCTTGAGTAATCCAATGGTGCAATTGATTTTATATGTTTGGTTTTCAGTCATTTACAAAAATAATAATGAATCAATAAGTGTATCAAATGCCGAATCAGATTCAGTTATTTATTTTGTTGAAAAATATATTATTAACACAGATCAAAACATTGATACAGATAGATTATTAGAGCATGATATTAATGAAATTCTTTTCAATAACAAATCATCAGCCTATATTGGGTTCCATTGTCTAATCGATTCTATTGCTCGTTACATTAAGGATGAAATCATTATCAAACGATTATTCCCATTACCAACACTGGACCAAGAAACTAGGTTCAAACTATTTGAATTCTTAAAATTGTTCGAAAACGAAGAGCAGGAAGCTGTCCCTATGGTCAAGACTCCAAGTTATTCGCATAGACCATCGATCTCATCTATTGGATCTAATACATTTAATTTACCAACGTCTCCAATGTCATGTACACCGACTTCAAACAGAAGATCATCCGTAGTTTCAGTTACAGAAGATGGCCAAAAGTTATTACTTCCTCCATTGAATTTTATTCCGGGACAAATGCTGGCTTCACCACCAAACAAAAGGAATTCCATCCCAAATAGTAGTTTCTTGGAGAGTAATAATACTTCGAAGGTTCTATTCGGTACTTATAATGATACCTTTGGTACTGTACCACAGCCAATCCTACATAGTGGTAATCCAAATACTTTAAATCATCTAAAGAATTACTCATATGGTGGAGTAAATGGGAAAGTAACTGGTAACCTACACGATTCTACTAGATTTAACCCACATACATTGCTAAATCCATATGATGATGATAACAAACCTCCGATTAAATGGTTACAGAATAGACGTGCCTCCTTACCCTCTTTATCAGGTGGAAAAATGTTAAGTGGTCAGATACTACCATCAGCGTATCCAATTCCTGTCACCAATACCAGTATGGGAGAGGGTCATGCGATGAGACCCATTCAACGGTTAAGCATATCAAAAGATAGATTAAATAATGAAAATCATAATAATCTTTAATAGAGACTTGATTGAACTATTTGACAATATATATATATATATATGAACTAAAGTAATGTCCTAATAAATATTCCATTCTGAACTTTACTTATATTATTATTCAAGAACAATAAAATGATTGAATAAAAAACAATTGAAGACATTAATTAGCGAAGAACAAATATTATTAATTGATAAATTTTAATTTACATATTTTAAAATATATATATAAAAGAAAATAGATATTGAAAATTATTTTAGAAATATGAATCCCTAAAACAAATCAGTAAACGAAACCCAAAATCTTACCAGAGACATGCTTTCTTCTAGCTTCTTCGTGGTCCATAATACCAGCAGAAGTAGTTAGAATAACGTAACCGAATTGTCTGGCTGGTAGTAAGTTCTCGGTCCATTTTTCAATATCCGCAATCTTTACGTTAAATCTTGGAGAAATAACACCACACTTGTTCAATCTACCGTTCAATTGAACGACGATCTTACCAGATCTGTGGTCATCAATAGATTCAAATTCACCAATGTAACCTGTAGAAATTATCAACAATAGGAAGATAACAGAAAAATTGTTAGTAAAAAGAGAACTTATCATTATTAATCTCAAGGGAGATATTCGTTCCAGTTTTATTTTCAATCGAGTTGTCAAGCGTATCAAAATTAAGTTTTCCTCATAATGCAATATGAATGTAGAAATAGTACGTTCATTTTTATGTTAAGAGCCTTTAAAGAGAAGATGAAAATTCATATTTTCTTTTCAAATTGTTTTACGAAAGGAATAAAATGTCGAGGGAAAGTAAACGGTTCAAAATGGCTTGAATGTTCAATAATAAATATTAAATGCATCTGGAATCGTGTAAGAAGCATTCCCTCGTTGGAATAATTAATATCCCGGATACTTAAAGGACAGTATGGGACTGAAGACCGAACATACCATCTAGTTATCAACCCGGGGATACTATTCTTCGTCATAAAACAAAACAAAGGCAAAAACACAAATTGGATACGCCGAGAGTGGCAACAACAATATAAAAAAAATTAAACAGAAGGAAAATATCATGTAAAATTGTAGAACATACCATGCTTTTGCATAACTTGTAGGAACTTGATTATAACCTTTGACGAAGGTCTAATCATAACTTGACGCTTACCAGTTTTTTCGGCGTTGTTAATGGAGTTTAGAGCATCAGCTAGAACAGAAGTACGAGTCATTATTCTGTAAAGAAAAATAAAAAAATATTCATTATGATTATAATTAATTGTTAGTATGTTAGTTTACAAACTTCATTTGAGAACAAAATTAGTAAATGGTACCGTTTGCAAAACAAATTGCATCAGTCCAGAATATTTGATTATTTACACATATCGATATGATATATGTTAAAGAAATCAAAACGGAAAGTATCTAACTCCCATCTATGAGTGTCTGTCGAAAATTAATATAGAAAAAAAAATGCAGCAGATTCAAAGATGAAGAGCTAGACGGTCGAAACGATTTGCGCCATAGAAAGGTATCAAAGGTTAGTATAATGTATATATCCTATGTTCAACAGAAAATAGAGATACATATTAACTTTCTAAAATTAGAAATTCTTAGTGTAATCTAAGAATTTAAATTTTCTAAAAACGAATGACATTATAAAAACTTCTTTGATTCTCACGACGTATCTTTAGTGCATTACTCGAGTCATTCAAAAAATGGATGAAATAAAATAATGCTCACAAAAACATTGTAGAAACAATGATAAATCAAATATTACGTTCAACAATACAAAATATTTTGTAATTGTACGGTAATATACTGAAACAGCTGGTACATACGTTAAAAGTATGAAGAGTGAAAAGTTGTGTTGGTAGGTATATCTTCTTTATAAGTAAGAAAGATTAATTAGAAAATTGTTTGGAAATGAATTTAAATTCCTTTAATAAATGGAAAATCATACTTCTGGCACTTTATATAGGAATGCCAGAAAGTGAAAAAAAGAACATGTATTCTCGTTGTCCTCTCCTCCGATGGTAAAAAAGTAATATTTTCATTTGATTTTTTGCGTCTCTCTAAGAAAAAATTTCAGTGAAATTTTCAATTTGAGTGAAAACGCAGGTCTACGATGTGGATGTATGGGTGTATACAACTCTATTGTGACAGCTAACAGTACTTGGCTGATATGTTTGAATAAAGAATCTAGTTAAGAAGTTATAGTTTGTGAAATTCACCAAGTTGCGAGATGTATCAAAGTTTCGTATAGTGAATAGTGCTTTTCCTGTCATTTCAAGAAAATGAATAGTTTTAAAGTAGTTTTAGTTGTCAATAATAATATAATATTATGTATAAGCGCAATAGAGTATGATGTAGTTTAAAATAAATGATGCCCTCAAGAAAATATCTTATTATAGTTGCTCCATTGTGATGTCATTCATTTTGTAGTACATTTATACTTACAAGATAAATTAAACAGTATAGCTAGGTATCAATAAAGATTTTAAACGTTTAATGAATCAGAATACAATTCTAAACATGTAATTCATCACCTAATAAAGTTTAATGCCACAAAATTATGAGACTTTTGAACTTTTATAATTGGTTGGACTTGTTAGTAATTTATCTTCAACTAACAACATTTTTGTTTATGTATTCAAAAAGTTTTGAGGGAACAAAACGGAATCATTTCTCGATGATTCCAAAAAGTGAGAATCAGAGCGAATGAATCACGCTAATTTTTATTTTAGTTTTTTGTCGATGTAAAAATGAAATATTTCACGCTGGGAAGTGGAACGGCAGTAGGCATTGTTATCTGACTTACAGAAAATAATCACTGATGCATATGAGTTGAATTACGGCATGGCTAAATTGCTTCCAACGATATTCTGAGATTATTATATTTTGACCATTTATTTATGGGCTTGCAATGTACTTCCATATATATATATATATATATATCGGAAAGAGGAGACAAACTAAAATAATAATCTATACCTTTTGACTATACTTAGTTTGGACACAGATTTTTATGATTCCATTTTTATTGTCTTTTCTGATGGTGAGTATAACTTAAACATTTCATTTGTTGAGGAGAGTTTTAAAAACAAAAAGTAAACTTCCGGACAACTTAAGGTTGATAAAGATAATCACCCAACAATTTATTTCATTTAAAAGTTTCAATTAGTCATAATCCTCTTCCCCTGCGATTATTTTAGTTTCGACCATCACGATTATTGAATTCGAGAATTGTCATTGTTCAATCCTGATAGTTTATAACTTAACCTCTTTCATACTCTTCCTTTAAAGAAAGGTATATAAGCAGACCATCTCTTCTTTTAGAACCTGCTATTCCAAAAGTTATATCCTTATCATTTAATATATTCACTAATTATAATTAATATCCACAGAAAACAAAATTTATTAATATAGTCAATTAATAATAATAATAAGAATAATAAGAATAATAAGAATAATATAAAAATACATTAATAAAATGGCTACTGGATGGAGAAAACTTTTACCTCATTTAAGAGTGCTTCCAGACGAGGAACATGTAGAAGATGCTAGTTTAACTATTGATACGGAATCTGACGTTGCTATTAAATATCATGATAATATTTCTAGTGTCGATAAAAATAGCGTTGACAAGGACTTAGGTACCATACACGAAATTTCTGTCAGTTATAATCAATTAAATAAAGAAATGCCTTATGAATTGAGAGATGAGGCCGGTAGAAAATGGTGGAAGTATTTCGATGAGTTTGAATACAGATTAAACAAACAACGCATGGAGTCAAGAAGTTGGTACGAATTTTTATATCCAAATCATAAAGAACATAGTAAAGCTGAACGTAGGTTACTTTATAAATTGGATCTTATCATTGGTGTTTATTTTCTGATGCTTTGTTGGTCCAAATCTGTTGACACTAACAATTACACCAATGCATATGTTTCAAACATGAAAGAGGACTTGAATATGAAAGGTAATGATTATATCCATACATCCACTATCGGTAATGTTGGGTCCATTGTCTTTCAACTTCCATTTATGTATCTTTTACCTAGATATCCTGCTCATTTAATTCTACCTATAATGGATTTTGGTTGGGCATGGTTTACTTTCGCATGTTACAGAGTTAAATCTCTAGGGGAATTACAAGCTTATAGATTTATCTTAAATGCATTTGGTGCTGCGTATTATCCGGTCTCACAGTATGTGTTAGGTTGTTGGTATGCACCTGATGAGTTAAGTTCCAGGGTTTGTTTATTCTTTTGCGGTCAATTATTAGGTGGGGTTACATCTGGGTTACTCCAGGCAAGGATTTTCAAGAGTTTAGATGGTGTCAATGGTCTAGCTGGATGGAGATGGATGTTCTTGATTGATGCCATAGCCATTTCGATCCCTACAGCAATTATTGGATTTTTCGTCATCCCAGGTATCCCATCAAAATGTTATTCATTATTTTTGACAGATGAAGAAATTTTGATTGCTAGAGCAAGAAATAAGAGAAACCAAATTACTGATGGAGTTGATAAATCAAAGTTAACTTCATTATTTAGTAAAAAAATATGGAAACAAGTATTTTTAACGCCAACTTTCTGGGTACTAGTTGTATTTGACACATGTTCATGGAATAATATGACTGCTTTTAGTGGATCTTATACTTTATGGTTGAAATCAAATTACGAGTACACTATCGAACAAGTTAATAATCTGAGTGTTATCCCTGCTTGCCTAGGTTTTGCATATGTCTTCTTCTGTTCCTTCGGTGCAGATATTTTTCATTGTAAGTGGATCTTTATGGTATTTGCTGCTATCATGAATACTGTATCTTGTGCTCTTTTAATCAAATGGGATATTTCTGCTAGATCCAAATGGTATGCCTTTTTGACAACATATTTCAGTATATCTGCATCCCCTTGTCTGTGGTCATTTATTAACGATTTCTTAAGATTTGATCCACAAGTAAAAGCTGTAACATGGATTGCCATATACTCATTTTCTCAATCTACGTATGCATGGATTCCTAATTTGGCTTGGCAGACTACCGATTCACCAAGATTCAAGACTGGTTATATTGTTAGTTTAATATTTGGTGCAATTTATGGTTTATGGACATTTGTAGTCTTATATTTATACAAGAAAAATGAAAAGAAACATGCATTAGGAAATGGTATCATTATCTATGATTCCAGTAAAGACCAAATACCTCCAGCTTTTGTAACGGAGGATATGGAATTGAGAGATGACGGTTATTATTATCTGAAGGACACTTTTTAAAGTTACATCTCTCAACTCCCCCCTCCCTTATATATATATATATATATATTTCTTTAAATAAGAAATAAGTTATTATTTTCATAAATACTGTTATTAATACTTTACGTGAAGATAAATAAAATGATCTGCAGGTGCAATAGAGTAGCTATTATGGAATCAAGTTCAAAAGTATTACCCTCTCGGCATTTTAATTTTCTACTGTCCTTATATGTTACTTGAACTAAGAAAATTAAAATTGCACTGTATGGTCTCCGCGTTCGAACGTTCACCATACAAAAAAATACACAGATATTCAATAATTAAGCATGAATTTTATTTAAAGATGTATAATAATTTAAGCCAACTAATATATATATACGGACTGCTTACACATAAGTAATAACGTACTTTGAAAGAAAGGAAAGACAAATATAAACAGATACATACGTATAGTCCATTATGTCCAGTGATAGAGCATGCATGCTATGTGGCATAATCCAAACGACGAATGAGTTTGGTAGGGAAGGCTGTCCAAATTGTCAAGGTGTATTTGAACAAGCCGGTGTCTCCGCCATGGAATGTACATCACCATCATTTGAAGGTATGGTTGGGATGTCTAAACCTACGAAATCATGGGTTGCAAAGTGGCTGAGTGTGAACCAAGGTATTCCGGGTATATATGCTATTAAGGTCGACGGTAGGTTGCCTCCAGAAGTGGTTGAATTATTACCACATTATAAACCAAGAGATGGTAGTCAGATTGAATAGGTGCATTACCACAACTTTACAATTAGCATTCATTAGTACAAGTCAACAAGAAATATTTAACTGTTCTATAAAAATCTTTAACAATATGTATATTAAATAGTCATCTCTCTCTGTCTTAGGACTGTAATATTAATATTATTTTATTATTATTTTTTTTTTTCAACATTAAAAAGTTATCGAGAAATTATGGACTGCAAAGGCGGGAGAACCTTATAAAATATATAGCATCAACACTAATAAAGGGAGAATCATTACTATACTTGCGGGTCATTCAGGGAGTTTCTATATAGGCATCATATTTATACAATTATTTTGGTGGAATAGAATGTTTCCATTGAGTTCAGCGGCGAGAAGACCGCTAGGTAAACAATTAATCATCAGATATGATCAATTACAATTCCCAAAAATGAATAAAACCCATCGTGGGTTTGCCACATTTCAAGCTGTTGCAGATACGTTTACCGCAGTACATGAAGCTAGTGGTATACCGTGGTTGGTTCTGATACCGACAACGACATTTGCGTTAAGAACTGTCTTTACTTTACCATTTAGTATATGGCAACGTAAACGTATTGTGAAACAACAAGAATTGAGAAAAGTGGTTCAATCGATGACACCAATAATAAAATTACGTTTAGCTGCTGCAAAGGCTAGCGAAGCACAACCTGTAAATAAGAATGTAACCATAACATCAAAGGCAATCATTACAAAAAAATCGAAGATTCCAGATATTATTCAACAGGAGACCAATAAACAATTAACCCCAGAACAAATAGTTTTAATAGCAGCTAAAGAAACGCGTAAGAGACAGAAATCCATCTTTAAGAAACATAAAGTCCAAATGTGGAAAAATATGTTATTACCTGTTGTACAAATTCCATTATGGTGTACTGTCTCCATGGGTATAAGAAAACTGACAGAATGGAAAATTGAAGGTTCTACACATGCATGGTTTGAAAGCTTCAAGTTCCATGAAATTGATCTTACTGGTCCGCTTGATGTATATCCTATGATTATACCAATAACGTTAGGTATTGTATCTTTATTAAATGTTGAATACAACGGTAAAATGTTATTGAGAAGGACTACCGATGTAGTTGGGATAGATACGTATCAGGATGATAATTCAAGGTTAACTCAAGGTATCAAGAGTGTATTAAATGTCTCTAGGATCGGTTCTGTATTCATGATGGGTGTATCTTCTCAAGCATCGATCCTATTATCATTATATTGGATCAGTTCTAATTTATATTCTTTATTACAAAATATTGTATTGGATTTTTTATGGCCTTATCAAAAGTAGATATTATTTGTAAATAATTTGTAAAATAAAAATAAAAATAATTTATATTTTGTTAACGTTTTAGGTATTGGAATGTTGGAATTTTCTACATTTTTTCTAAATGTATATATATATTTTATAGGAATGCTATTTATTATGTCAAAAGTGATGTATATAATGTACAAATAATATTAAAATAAGGTATGAGTGTTTTGGTGATCAAACATGGAATCTGAAAATCTATTTCTTAGCCTTTCTTTCAAGTTCTCTTCTTGTTCCTTTCAATAATTCTAAATGACCAACCTTACTAGCCACAAGTCTTTCCGTGGATTGAGTCAAAGATGAAGTTTTATTTAGTTTTTTCATATGTTGTAATGATTTTTTCTTGGATTTAATCATTCTTGGAGCAGCAGCTTTCAAATTTTTTTGTTTCTTTGTCACACGACGAGGATCTTTAACCTTTCTATTCACTTTCAAAGCTTTTTGAACCATATTTGTTTTTTTGTTAGTTTATGTATTTATTATTGTGACGATCAATTTGTGAACACAAGTACCAAATAGTTAAGACACCAAATTATAGAAATACTCATTTATTAAAGCTTGATTGTGTAGAGGTCATCGCTAAAATTTCGAACTTCAACTAAAAATGTAACTCAGTTTGTCAGTATCAACATTTTTCGCCTTTAATTTTTTTCACTGATTTTCGCAGTAAAGAAGCATCGCAACAAATTTTCATTCTTTTTTTTTGTTTTGGCCCATCCAATTTCTAACTGACAATAAACTTAGCGCATTTCAGAACAATCTGAAGAAATTACTATATGAATAAAGTTAGTTACAAATATATATATACAGATGTAAGAAACGATGGAAACTTATATCTATCTATGTCATAAGATACGCATCGAAGTCTACATATGAATCCTCTTCTATATCGATGATCCCAGGTACAATTAATAGTATAATAATAACGACATAAGAAGAGGATACTCTACAATACCTTATTCGTTATTACCCGCCGGGACCTCATCAAGTTAAAATACTTGAACATCTGTTTATCATCAGAGTCATTGATGTCCCATATCCTAAATTTTAAACTGAGTTATTGTTCTACCATCTCTTAAATCACGTTCAACGACGCCGCCCTCACATATTCAGATTTTGCAGCCATTCCATTTTTCTCATTAATTTTCAAAGAAGTCAAGAACGTTAATACACACATCTCTCTCTCAATGAAAACCTCGTAATGTGCACCACACATCTACATACACACTCTCGCACCCGCGTACATATATAAATATTGATTGGGAAAAGAATAAACGAAAATAAAAGAAGTCATTTTTATAAATGCTTCAATATGATTGATTATTTAATTATTTGTTTTCAGCACCCAAGTCAAGTATTACCAGGGTCACATATTTGTATTAGTATTAGTATTATTGTTACTATCTATCTATAATAGCTTCACATACTTTGGTAATGAAGTTATAATATGATTTATTGGCTTGTATGATTCTTGTTAATATTTTTTATACATTAGTTTTTATAATACTTACATTACTCATCTTAACTCCTTCTTTAGAACTGCATAATTATTTCATTTCATCTTATATAAATAAGATCGTCATTTGTTAAGTATTTTACTATTTTTTTATTTTTATTTTTAACATGGTGAGCTCGTTGCCATTAATATCAATCACTTCAGTTAGGTTTATACTTTGTGATATATATAAAGAAATTAGCGTTTACTCTTTTCTTTAATTATTTTAATATATATATATATATATATACATACTTCTTACGTTAACGTATCTCATTGCTATACAACAATAACATCATCATAGCGAATATTCTTCATTACTCTAATTATATTTTTTTGTTATTGCTCCATTCTTTGTCTGCCGTTTTTACTTCAAGGATCCCCCTACCCGAACATTTAATATATATATATATCCACATATAGTCATCGCCTGATTACTATAAGAATTGTTTAAAGCTATAGGGAATATTAATTAATTTACAAATAATAAAAACAGAAGAAACAATAACAACAATCCGTAATGTCTTCAATCGTTCTACCTGGCCCAAAGGCTTTATCCTCCTTCAGAGTTGAGAACCTTACCGATGCTATTAATCAAGCTTTTAACGGTAAACGTGTAGTTCAAGAAATTCGTGCATGTTACGTTCATTACATCGATCTTTTAACTACTGGATTGAATGAGAAAGAAACTTCACTACTAGATGTGCTTTTGACTTATGATAGTGCTTTTGATTTTAAAAATGATAAAATCGCCAAATTATTAAACGATGCCATTTCAAATAACGATTCATCAATTAACAATTCTTCTGATGAAACCTATTACTTAATTAGGGTCATTCCAAGATCTGGTACAATCTCTCCATGGTCGTCTAAAGCCACTAATATTTCAAATGTATGTGGTTTACAAGAAAAAATTGGTAGAATCGAAAGAGGTACTGTTCTATTAATCAAAGTAGTAAATGGAACTGATTTAACTGATGCTTTAAATGATATTACTTTGAAATCGGTTTATGATAGAATGACACATCAATTATATATTAACCAAGCTCCACCAATTTCTGCTTTGTTTACTCATGAGGAACCAAGACCTCTTGTCTCCGTTCCATTACAATCTCAAACTTCCACAGGGAAATCACCAAAGGAAATTTTACAAAAAGCGAATGTTGAATTAGGTTTAGCTTTAGATGCAGGTGAAATGGAATATTTGATTAAGGCCTTTACTGACATCATGAAGAGAGACCCTACTGATGTTGAGTTATTTATGTTCGCACAAGTGAATTCAGAACATTGTCGTCACAAAATATTTAACGCTGATTGGACTATTGATGGATTAAAGAAAAATTATACTTTGTTTCAAATGATTAGAAACTCTCATAAAATATCCCCAGAATATACAATCAGTGCTTATTCTGATAATGCTGCCGTTGTCGATACTGAAAACGAAGCTTATTTCTTCTCCCCAGACTCTAAGACCAAAAAATGGACCGCTTTGAAAGAAAGAGTTCCTATGTTAATTAAAGTAGAGACACATAACCATCCAACTGCCGTGTCCCCATTCCCGGGTGCCGCTACTGGTTCAGGTGGTGAAATCCGTGATGAAGGTGCCACAGGTAGAGGTTCTAAATCCAAATGTGGTCTAAGTGGGTTCTCTGTTAGTGATCTTTTGATTCCAAATTTCAAACAACCATGGGAACTGGACGTAGGTAAGCCATCACATATTGCATCTGCACTAGATATTATGATTGAGGCTCCGTTAGGTTCAGCAGCCTTCAATAACGAATTCGGTAGACCTTGTATTAACGGTTATTTTAGAACTCTTACTACAAAGGTTAAGAATAAAGACAATGTCGAAGAGATTAGAGGTTTCCATAAACCAATTATGTTAGCAGGTGGGTTGGGTACTGTAAGACCACAATTCGCTTTGAAGAATAAGCCAATCACAGCAGGGTCTAATATTATTGTCCTTGGTGGTGAATCTATGTTGATCGGTCTAGGTGGTGGTGCTGCCTCTTCTGTTGCCTCTGGTGAAGGTTCTGCAGATTTGGATTTTGCCTCCGTTCAAAGAGGTAACCCAGAAATGGAACGTCGTTGTCAACAAGTCATTGATGCTTGTGTTGCTCTTGGTGATAATAATCCAATCCAATCGATTCATGATGTCGGTGCAGGTGGTCTATCTAACGCCTTACCAGAATTGGTACACGATAATGATTTAGGAGCTGAATTCGATATTAGAAAAGTTTTATCTTTAGAAAAGGGTATGTCTCCAATGGAAATATGGTGTAATGAATCTCAAGAACGTTATGTTATGGGTGTAGCATCAGATGATTTGGTTACCTTTGAAGAAATTTGTAGAAGAGAAAGAGCTCCATACTCTGTGGTCGGTAATGCTACATCCGAGCAAAGACTACTAGTTAAGGATTCCTTATTAAAGACTACTCCAATTGATCTAGAAATGTCTATCTTATTCGGTAAGCCACCAAAGATGTCGAGAAGTGCTATAACTGAATCATTAACTTTACCTAACGCTGATTTGTCTATAGTGTCATCTTTAAATGAGGCCATTGAGAGAGTCCTGACGTTACCAACCGTTGCATCTAAATCCTTTTTAATTACTATTGGTGATAGAACTGTTACTGGTTTGGTCGACAGAGATCAATTTGTCGGTCCATGGCAAGTTCCTGTTGCTGATGTTGGTGTTACTGCTACTTCATTAGGTGACTCAATCGTTTCTACTGGTGAAGCTCTAGCGATGGGTGAAAAACCTGTGAATGCTTTGATTTCTGCTGCTGCATCTGCTAAACTTGCGGTTGCTGAATCGTTATTAAACATTATGGCTGCAGATGTTAAATCTTTGAAACATATTAAATTATCAGCTAATTGGATGTCTCCAGCTGCTCATAAAGGTGAAGGTTCTAAATTATATGAAGGTGTTCAAGCTATTGGTATGGATCTTTGTCCAGATCTTGGTATTGCTATTCCTGTCGGTAAAGATTCCATGTCCATGAAGATGAAATGGGATGACAAAGAAGTCACTGCCCCATTAGCTTTAAACGTTACGGCTTTTGCTCCAGTTTACAACACTTCTAACACTTGGATTCCATTATTGAGTAAGAACTGTGGTAATTCATCTTTAGTATTAGTTGATTTATCCAGTTTACAAAATGACAAACGTTTAGGTGGTTCTGCTTTACTACAAGTTTATGGTCAAGTTGGTAATTCATCTCCAACTGTTTATGACAATTTGGTACTAAAGGGTTTCCTTGAAGCTTTGCTAAGTCTACACAAGACACAAGGTATTGTATCTGCTTATCATGATGTATCAGATGGTGGTTTATTGGTTACTTTGTTAGAGATGGCCTTTGCCTCCAGATGTGGTCTACAAATCAATGTTCAAAGCACTTCTCAAGATGGTTTATTAAATGAGTTATTTAATGAAGAATTAGGTGCTGTATTCCAAATCTCCAACGATAAGATTGATGAGTTCTCCAAAATTATGAACTCTAATGGTATTTCTGCTGATTACATAAAGATAGTAGGTACTCCTGATTTTTCATCTCAAGAAATTAAGATTAATAATGGTAAAGAAATCGTATACACTAACACTAGAGGTAAATTACAACAAGTTTGGGGTAAAACCTCTTTTGAAGTGCAAAAATTGAGAGATAATCCAAACACTGCTCAAGAGGAATTTTCCACCCTATTAGATGACAAGAATCCTGGTTTACAATACAAATTGACATATGATCCAAAGGATGATCTTCAAATCAACGAAACCTTAAAGGACATTAGACCAAAGGTTGCTATTCTAAGAGAACAAGGTGTCAATGGACAAATGGAAATGGCCTGGTGTTTTGAACAAGCTGGGTTTGAATCTATTGATGTTACTATGACTGATTTAATTAGCGGTAGAGTTCAACTAAAGGATTTTGTTGGGTTTGCTGCATGTGGTGGTTTCTCCTACGGTGATGTCTTAGGTGCTGGTGCAGGCTGGGCCAAATCTGTACTTTATCATGAGAATGTTCGTCAACAATTCATTGATTTCTTCCAAAATAGAGATGATACATTTGCCTTCGGAGCTTGTAATGGTTGTCAATTTTTGAGTAGATTAAAAGAAATCATCCCAGGTTGTGAAAACTGGCCAACTTTTGAAAGAAATGTAAGTGAACAATACGAAGCTCGTGTGTGTATGGTTGAAATTGATTCCAAATTAGCAGAACAAAGTATCTTTTTAGATGGTATGATTGGTTCCCAATTACCAATTGCTGTAGCTCATGGTGAAGGTAAAGCTACCTTTAATGATGACACTCAATTGACTGAATTTGAAAACCAACAGTTAGGTGCCATTAGATATGTTGATAATTATGGTCAAGTGACTCAAGAATTCCCATTCAATCCAAATGGTGCTGCTAATGGTATTGCTGGTATTAAATCTCCGAACAATAGAGTGCTTGCTATGATGCCTCATCCTGAAAGAGTATGTCGTTTGGAATCCAATTCATGGTATCCAGAAGGTAAATATGATGAATGGGAAGGATATGGTCCATGGATTAGATTATTTAGAAATGCTAGAAAATGGGTTGCTAAGACTTCTGGCAACTGATTAATAAGTAACTTATAAAATTAAATAAAAATGTACAATAGAAACAGTGAAAAAAAAACATAAGAAAAGAAAAGCTGACAAGCAAATAAATAAAATAAATTATATGTATTTTCCTTTTACTTTTAATATCAAAAATAGTAAAAATAACAAAAATTGTTTATAAATAGTGATTTATATATCAAATATAGATACTAGTAGTAGTAATAATAATATTAAGAGGAGTGTGATTGAAATACAAAATTATAATAATAATGTAAAGAGTCAGGAAAACCACTTAATAATAGTAATAGTTAGAGCAACAAATGAATAATAATAAATTCAATCAAAAAGAAAAAATAGAATATATTTGTTCTTTTTTTTTATCATCTATTGGTTTTTCTTTTGAGCACCTTTATTAGCCTTTAATTTCATTCTTTCTTCTCTAGCGGCTTTAGCTTCTGGACCAGCTTCAGTATCCAAATAGAAATCCCACCATCTGAAGGAAGAAGCGTAATTACCAATGAAATAATGATGATGTAAATCATGATGTTCAGCACCTGCCCAGAAAGGTAAGAATTTATTTAGAGACCAAGGGAAATCATAACCAGAATGAGAATCGACAGCTTGGAATAATCTTAATACGACCCATAGACATAAAGTGAAAAGATGTAATTTACCGGTGTACATAACGTAAAAGATTGGCATACCAACAGTACCGAACCCTAAGGACATAGTTTCAGCAGGATGAGCATATTCTGCAGATAAACCAAATGGTGCAGCATATCTATGATGTTGTTTATGAATATATTTATAGAAGACACCGTAATGGAATAATCTATGAGCCCAATAATGCCACATATCTTCTAAGACGAAGAATAAACAAATTTCTAGAGTCATGGTCTTTAAATTTGGGAAAGGAACTTCGACGGTAATACCTAATTTTTGACACATTGGATGGAAAGTCCAAATTGGGATAGCTTCAACTAAGAAATGAGATAATAAAACAGATTTCAAACAATATAATTGTTCTTTAGTGGAAGGAATTTTAGTTGGTTGAATTTTCCATTTTCTAAAATATGGAATTTGATCAATGATAAACCATGGTAAAGATCTAGCGAAATAAACAATTTCATGTAAAAGGAAGAACATTAAACCAGTAGCTAAAATATCATTATTCATATAAGTATACCAAGCAGCCCAATATTGTTCGACAATATTCAATTGAGGTTGATAATTTTGTATATTTTTTAAAGTATCACCATAAGAGGCAGCTCTGACCAAATTGGTCAAAGTGGCATTATTAAACACAGCAGACATCTTTTAAAGAATAAAACAATAAAAAATGTGGATGTGGATGTGTTTTATAATGTTTTAGGATTATCTCCGGTGGCTTGATTGTTATTATTGAATGTTATTAAATAATACAGGCAAACAATGAAACAACTATAAATATGGAAATACATAAAAAAGAGAATTAAAAACAAGTAAAAAAAAATATAGAAAAGGAAGTTCCATCACTTTACCTTTATATATTAAACATTGCACCTGGAGTTTAGCTATCCATTAATTAACAAACGAGATAGTTCCGTAGAACTAAAAATGAGCTAAAAAATAAAATAATTTTTTAGAAGAACCCGATGGATCCTTCCCACATATTAAAAAGTCATACAATTTCAGTACTTTTCTTTTTAATAGACAAACTGGATTTTTTACTCTTGAAATTCGCCCTTTATTATTTTCTGTTTCTCTCGTGCACCACTATAAAATTTGGTAATGGGCAATTTGGTAATATGGCAAAATATGGCCTGTGTCACCGCCTCGTCTCTTTCTTCTCTTAAAAATAATACATTAAACGACGATGGGAGGGGGGCAAAGAGCGGTAAGTGATAACAGCAACTACATGGATATTTATGACTTCATCTCTAATAATTTTAGCGCATCAACCCCATGCGGTCGTGTCAAATGAGCATTGATTTGAGTATTATATTCTTATGCGTGTTCCTCCCCGATACGAGAGGATATCCACTAGAAAGGACAGATTGTCCGGACATATTTCCGTTAAACGACATCATCCATCACACACACATAAATAAAGTATATATTATATATTGCATCTAAACGAGCAGAGATGAAATTCTGTGCGGAGAGTTTTCTGAATCAATATTTTAAATGTATCATTTAAACCGTTCGTTCCGTCTGCTCGTTTAATAATTTAAAAATAATTAGAATAATGGGAAGTCCCTCTCCCTCTCTCGTTTAAATTTTGTCCTTATCTTCGGCCTGCTCTCTTCGGCTAATAATCAAAGAGAAAATTTCTTTGTTTTCTCTGCAAATTTTAATTTGGTTTGGCGCCTCAAGGTGAATGAATGAATGTCCGTGCACTCGCGCATTAATAAAGTCTTGTTGCACTGGGCTCTACATGGCAACTAAAGCAATTATCGGTATTTATACATTTATCTCTCTGATGCGCATGCTCTTACAGTTCTTACCTACCTAAAGATAGAGAAAGTTCAAATAACGATAACTGTCTGTTCTTTTAATAAACGACAACAAGAAGAACTAATACTATATACAGATGCTTAGAAAAGAATGACAGAAGATATGAGCATATTTAGTTAATATTGCCTTTAGATCATTTATGATTGAATTGAGCTTCTTAAAAGATTAAAAGATAGTCAAAGTAAGCAAATAAAAAAAAAAAGAATGACAATAGTGGAAGGCAACAATTATTAACAAGAATCTTTGGAAGATTTAGAAACCAGATCGCATAATCATCAACTTTTTTTTTTTGTATTGTATTGTATTAAGCGTCTTATTTTACTTTTTTAAGTTCTTTTTTGCTGTTTTATAGGCAATATAGCAAATAATAATTTAGATTCTGCCACTATACTGTAAATATACATATATATACATATATATATATAAAATCATTACTTTCGAGGAACATTTAAAGTAACTAATGTAGTAGTACTATGATCTATTGTTGATGGTAAAATTAATTCTGTTTCATGTTCTTTTCTCGAATTAGTATTATGAACATCTATCATTGATGGCAATGTTCGACCTGTAACAACTTGATATTCTAATTCTTGACATTGTAATTTTAATAAATCTAAATCTCTGTATAATAATTCAATAGATTGATTAAAAATTGTTTGCTTCTCTAATAAATGACGTTTCCATTCTTTAAATTTATCTTCTTCAATTTGTAATATTACATTAAATTTTTGTTGAAATTGTAATTGTTTTGATATATATTGTGGTGACCATTCAATAAATATTTCATCCATCTTTTTTTTATTAAAATTATTATAACAATAAGTATTAAAAAAATTTAAATCATTTAAAATTTCCTTATTTCCTTCATCTTGGTTTAAATGATTTTTAACTTTTTCATTACGTAATTTTAATATATTATTACGTTGTATCTCATAATATGATTCAGTACTTTTAATTAATGATACAATTTGTTCATTTAATAAAAAATTTTGTAATTTAAGAAATTCATTTTCATTCTTTTCATCTTCAATTATTATTTCACCCCAATTATATTTTCTACCTAATTTAGTAGAAATATGTGTTTGTGATGTAACTATACTAAATGGTATATTCATTTCAATTTGTTTTAATAAATCTGGTTCTTCTTCTTCTCTATAATAATCATTTAAAAATTTACAAACCTCAATCTTTTGAATTTGAAAAATTTCTTTAATTTGTCTTTTAAATTTTTTAATTTCGTCATAATTTAAAATATCTGTCTTAACAATTATTGGAATTAAATTACATTTTTTAGAAATTTCTTTCATTGACAAAATATCTAATAATTTAATTGGTTGTCTTTCACTACCATTGGGCTCAATTAGATATAAACAACAATGGACTCTATTATCTCTAATCTTATTTCTTATAGGTTGTTCCTCTTCAAATACATAATATTTTATTTGTTCATCAATATATGTTGTAATTGGTGTCCAAGCAAAAGAATTATCACGTTGATTACCATAATTACTTGTTTCAATACAAGTAAAGTTCAATTTCATGTCGTTATTCTCTAAGACAAATTTATTTATTTGTAATTGTTCACCATTAATTCGAGAATTAATATCATTATTATTCTCATTTATTAATATTGTATCAAATAAGGAATTGATTAATGTAGTCTTACCGACACCAACTTGTCCAGCAACCATAATATTGAATGTGATACCTTCTTCCTTTGTTTGTTTACATTTTTGTTCAATTATACCTAATAGACCAATTGGAATGGAACTCCGTTGGGTTTTATTAATCTCTGTAGTTTCAAAAGATATGTCAGTTTGTATTTCATCACCATCTTCATAATGCTTATTCGAGAATGGATATTGATCTCTTGATTGGGGGGTTTCATCATCTGGTTGTTCAATTTCCTTCTGAATAGCTTTAAGTTTCCAATAGTTTTTCTCATATGTATAGCTTCTTACAGAATCATGTAATTCGTTTGGTTCAACTGAATTTGACTGATCATATAATTCGTTGGATTCAAACATCTTAATTAATTCTCTAAATCAAATTCCATGAATTTACTGCCGTAACACCTTTTTCTTTTCCTCTGTTTTGATCTAATACCTTTTTTATGAAGTGTAATTACATATCTTTTTACTAATAATTTTAGCATATTTTGTGTCGTTATCAAAATATTTTATTATATCGTCCCTTTTTTTTCTTCTTCTTTTCCTTGGTAGTATGAGATAAAGCAAATGACGACAAAGAAAAAAACACTCTCCAGCACACAATGTGTTTAATTGACTTGAAAATTAATTATTATAGTTATCATCAAATTTATGGGTCGCTAATCAATAGATAAATACGTTAATGAGTGGTGTACTATTACAATGTATATACATATGTGTATACATACATGCGTTATATTAAAGTTTATATAAATTCATATATTCTCTTTGTATTCATATCTTAATGAGGTAAATGACGTCCAAGGAATAACGTAGTTTCAATAAAATCCTTATATTGTATTATTGCTACACCTTCTTGATTAGTATCATATTTACGAAATTGTTTTGTTAATTGTAATAACCAAACTAAACTCTCGACAAATTTATCAAATTTTAGTTCTTTTGTATTCGAATTTTGTTTAATATTAAATTCTGCATATTGATCAAATAATTTCTCTCCAACTTCAAATGGTATCATATAACCTAATTCCTTTAATGAGTTTTGATATTCTTCTAATGATAAAGTAAATGATCCATTAATATCATTATCCACATATACTTTCCTCCATGCTTTTACTCTTTTATATAACGATACAAATTCATTTAAATTAACAGTACCAAATCTTGCTGCACCAAAGAGATTGATTAAAGAATCAATGGTAGATATTGAAAACCTTGTACTATCATCATTTTGTAATAAATTTTGCAACTCTTCTGCGGTTAATCTTTCACGTTTCTTAATATCATGGTTATAAAACAATTGTGTAGCAACAGATATATCTCTTTCTTCCTTTAATTGTTGATTTGTAGAACCAACAGATTCTTTCCGACCACCAGGCGACATTCGTCTACGAGGTGAACTACTACTACTACGCTCACCGGAGCCTCTTGTCACTGCAGGTATAATCGGAATTGGGGCGTTAGGTACAGGTCTTGAATTTATGCTGTGTCCGTTACTTGATACAATTCCCATTTTACTTGCATGTATATAAGTGCCATCATTCATATTAGAAGGTCTCTGTTGTGGTAAAACACGATGCATCTGTTGTATATGGGATTGATTCTGATGCTGTTGTTGCTGTTGCTGCTGCAATTGTTGGTTAGACGATATACGAGAACCAGGTAATGAATGATTACTATTATTTTGTTTCTTATAATCAATATATGACGAAGGTGCTGATGATATGCGAGTACCATTAATTCTTGCCTCTTGTGACATTTTCATTTCATATTTTTGTTGTCTTTGTAATTTCTCTTCTTCGAGAATCCTTCTATTAGCTTCAAGAGCTTGTTTTGGTGTTGCATATAATTGCAAGTCATCACCTGCAGTATATTTCAGCTTCTTAGCACACATGAGATTACGATTATGTTTTTATGTAGTATTCTCTTTCCAATTAAAGTTTTAGAAATATGCATCCGTATAATGAAAACTATCAACACTTTCTCTATCTCTCCTTAGATATGTATAAAATACGAAACAATCTGTTTTTTTGTTTTTTTGATTTACGTTATAAAATAACTTAAGTTCCATTAGTTTCTATTAATATGTCATTAGCTATATATTATAAATAAATCATCACCGGTTTTTATCTCACGTATCTCAATTTCTGAGTTTTATTTTTCGACTATTTAACAAATGGGAAGAGAGGATGCCCCAGAGACTTCCCGAGAAACTTCGGCAAGATCGAAACAGATAATTTATTTAACCGTGCGCAATATTTTCGTTCCGATAATAAATAGAATACGTAAATATTTATGTTATTAATAGATATTGTGATTGTAACCATATATATTCACACTGGAATTTCACTCATGAAGTGTGCTGGCATATATTCAAGCAACTAATGATAGTATGCTTGAGATGTGTAAATAAATAGATCTGTCATACAATTATAAAAATATATTAGCAGTCATTGTTATTCTTCATTTATGTGAAAAATGGAGTAACATTTCCTGGGAGGTAGTTTGACATGAAAGCAAGCAGAGAATTATATACATGAAGAAGTATATATATATACATTACTTGCCATATTGTAGCACATATTTCAATAAGAAACGTAGTCTTCTAGGTACAACCCTTATAGTCATGACTTCACTGTAATCTCGGATATATTGACTCAAGAGGGTAACTGTCATTTGTTCTTTTCTTTGCTTTGATAGCATCGAAAATATTAAAAATGTTCGCCAAGAGATGACTGAATAAAATGATAAGAGAAGACACCACGCAAAGCTAGAAAAATGAGAGTAAATCGCATTTTAATATTTTAAGTAATAGACACTCATCAATTCAGATTAATAATCAGAAGATCAACTCTTTCCTTTTAAAAGATTTTTTTTTTGTTTATTGATTGATTCTTGTTAGACTACCAGTCTATTTTGTTGTGTTCATTCATTCTGGTTTAGAATACACATCGATAGATCCTGTCACTGAAAAGGTATCAGAAACGTGTTTGGGTTGTTGGATCATTACTATAATAATAGAAGTGATATTATGAATATCTTAGGAGTCAACTGAGAGAGAATAAAAAATGAATGTTTAAGGTATCACTTCCTTTACAATTAACAACAACTACCTATTAAAATTAACTATCACCTTCACTACACAGTTTACCCTAGATTTTACTACCACCAGTGTTTTCCACGTACACTTTGAAAATTTTTATCATTTTTACAACATGGCACCTATTTTATTATCATTAGCTCATTTTTGTGATAAACACGGACCTAAAGTGATATTAGTGACTCAAACAGGTGACATGGATGATCCCACAGGGGATAAGTTATTAGTTCCAAATTATCCAACTGATTCCTACTGCGAATCATGTCTATTACATTTTCCTAATGAGGATACAGATGGTGTACGATCCATGAGAAGTTTTATAAATGATATACCATATGTTACAACTCAATATTCTACAATACGGTATCAATTATTAAGTTATATTATCAAAAAAGCCTTTTCGGAAGAAAGTATGATATATGATGGAAGTCCTTTGGTATTCTTTGATGATACAAGAGGCCTGAATTTGGTTATAGGATTTAAATTATACGATGAAAACGCACGAGGTAATGAAAGACGTTATTCGTTCATTTTCACAGTAGATTCTAAGAATCAAGATACTGCCACTAAAATTTTAGCTGATCATTGGGTTTTTATCACAAGTAGTTTCAATAAAATGATAGATTACATTAAATTGAAGCATAAACAAAAATTAGATCAAACAAAGAAAGATTCTAAGGGAAATCCATTTATAAGTAGTAACTATTTGAAAGTGAATAAACAAAAGACAGCAACAAATTTACTTGAATTAACCAATGATCCTATGTTATTTGTTCGGATACATAAATGGAATTCTTTTGTTATTGATTCATTGGTAGCTGTCTCTCCGCAGTAAACGTTTTATTTATCAATTTGACATAAGTTCTTCCACGTATATACTTTATCATTTTAATCTATTATTATAATTATTTCTTAGTTAATACATGCATTATTCACATATATTTGTCCTTATATAATGATACACTGTAATTTCTATTGTTATTGCTATTATTTATTTATTTTTACATTTTAGTAGCTTTGAAATTCCTTCTATATTATTTCATTTAATTTCAATTTATGAGCAATGAATTTACTTGATGGACGTAAACCAAAAACAAAAGTTCCGGGAATAATTTTATTCTCGTCATCATAGTTATGTTCCTCCACGACTTCAGATGTGTCTCTTTCCTTGGTTTGATTATCTATAGTTTCGTTGACGGTATTTACTTCTTCCTCATCCTCCAAGTGATATTTAGATATAATTTTGGCTTGTTGGTGTCTACTGAGAATTCTATTTCTGCTGTCTAATATTTCCGTAGTCTCGTCATAATCTAATTTCGTCTTTTTAAATATTTTGTTCAAATAAGTACGGGTTGCTTCTTCACCGAGGTTTATATATCTCTCTGAAATATCTATACTCGGTCCACTAAACCATAATGCTTCCCCTCTAAACCGCTTACGAGATGTTGAAGGAATATCTGCTTGCGACGATGTGGTTCTTTGATAATTTTCATAATCGGTTCTTTGTAAAACATTTGTATTCTTTGAAATCGAAATTGGCAATATATAACTTAGTGGATGATCGATATCTATAGGAATTAATGCCGTCTTAGTCATCTGCAAAGAAACGTCTTTAACTGTCTGTGTTACATCCTGATTCATGTTATCATTTTTCTTCGATAACATTTGCTGTCTTGTATAGAATCTTCTCACTTGTAAATCAGCTAATTTTTTAGCAGTAAGTGGATCCTGAGAAATACCAATTAATGAAGTACTACTTTCTGGTAAATTTGGTTTTCTATAATTATTGGAAAAATTTTGGAAATTTCCACTTGATGGAACTCTACCCTGGAGCCTATCAGTACTTATTTCTGATAATCGTGTCTGAGAATTTGTAAATGGTTTTGTAAAAGCTGTCGTTGTAATAGAATCCGTAATAATAGTCCCCGATTCGAAATCAATTTTACCTTCTTCAGGGGGGTCACCAGGTCTAATAATATGCCTTGGACAATCAGGTGAAGTGGAATATTCCCCAAGATCATCCCTATCGAGTTTTGGTCTCATATACACAGCACCTAACAGTGGTGGACCAGCGGAATTTCCTTGCACAGCTGGAGGAATTTTACTATTCACAGTGGCATCTTTGGACAACAAATTTCTTATTGGAGATGGATATTTGAAAAATTTTCTACCATTAACAGGTATCGTTGGTTCTTCAATATCTCTAACTTCTTCAGGTAAACATGCTTTCCATGTTCTAATTTTGTTAAAAATTTTATCCGATTCATTGTAACGATATTCACAGACAAATTGAGGACCATCAACTGGGAATTCAGGATCACCACGTTGATAACGCGTAAAATGGATAACATAACATTTACTAACAATATCTTCTATCACATGATCTCTATATTGACCTGTCTTCATAACTTCCTTCTTGTAGAATAATCGATCTACCCTATGTACAGTTTGCTCAGGTCTAAAATACCAACATGCATTCAGCCACTCCTGTCCATCCTCAGTACGCCATAATTTAAAAATTTCAGCAATTATTGGTTTAGATGGATCGTTTGGATTTTTTAATAGAACCCAATCACCTATGACAAATTTCACATTATTAACAACAATGTTATCTATTGGATACCTCAAGATACCATCAGATAGGAAATACTTGTCTGGTCTGGCTAATTCATGCTTACAAAGTACTTTAAACACTTTTTCCAAGCGAATTATTATATCAACAATTTCGTGATTGTTACCGTAAAATACTCTATAATTTGTTAACATTTGTGCAAAATCATTTTGGAAAGCTTGGAAATTAGAATATGTTCGAAGTCGTAATTTAGTCCTCATATCTTCTATACAGATAGGATTGGGAATCATGCTAAGATACTTCCCGCGGCGCATTTCATCTGGTACCGCTTCAAATACTGAAATTAATGGATTTTTGGATCTATCAGTTTCTCTCCGTAAATTCTTTAAAACATTTTTTACTCTTTGGAGATATGGTAGATCAATTACTGGAGGTCTACCACGTCTTATACTTGTCTTTGGTGCAGTTGACTTCGAATGAATGACCTTCCCTGTTTGAGGTGTATTGGAACGTGAAAATGTAGATCCATCATCAGAACCATTCAACGTATCATATTGAACTCTCGGTTGCGTTCTAGTCGTTCTCATTTTCGACTCGTTATTTCTCATAGGATTATAATTTTCATCCTCATCAGTAGAATCTTCCATAACGACTTTCCTCTCCTCCATAGTTCTAATGTTTCTCTTTGGTCTTTCATTCACCTCTTCTGTAAACTTTTTGGATTCTACTGGCGTTGGTGGTTTCTTAATTAAATCCTCCGGTTTGATGCCATTCTTTTCATCTTCCAATCTTTGTTTATCTCTAAGGGCAATCTGTTCTGCCTCATCGTCGGCATCTGGTAAAGGACCTAAATATGGATATCTAACATGAGGATATTTCTCCTGTAGTTGTGGAAACATATCCTCTATGAGGTATTTTTCTAAAATCTTGGCATATTTATGAATTTGCGATTCTTTTGTATTATATGTTTTGGCGTTCCAAGTCATCTGAGCTACATCATTTAAGAAATCTTGAGCCTCGGTGTAATGTGGAATTCTTTTCTTTAATGTATTTAATGAAATAGGTTTAGGAATCTGTTCATAGTAATCCATATATAACTTTCTATCTGGTAAAATGTTGAAGATAGGGTATATATCTAGACCGCCAGCATCTTTTAACGCGAATATGTTTTTGTAGAAGGTACGGAGAAGACCTTCCAGATCACTACGAATAATAATAACCATTGGTCTTGGTCTGATGTACTTACAATATATTCAATTCGGTGCCACTTCACTAGCTAAAAAAGCAAATACTGGTTCTACTGTTGTATATATCTTGAATGTTTTAAGCTTTCATTCAGATATTTGTATATTTATGATACTAATTATTATTCGTGTATATTTTTTTCCGCACAATAAATTCGAGTATTTATTTATTTATTTTTTTTTTTTTTCTGGCTTCGCTTCTCTTTTCTCACGCTTTTTCTTGAGTGCCAGCGGTCAACCTGGTTTGCTATATATATTTTATAGTATGAAGTATCAAAAATGTAGCATAGCTATGAAACGATATGTCAGGAGGGTATATCACATATTCCGTCGATTCCTAATTCTCTGACGATGGAATAGAATAATCCATTAAAATTACTCAGTTTTTATCATTAAATATTGATAAGTTGAGGTCAGTTTTATATAATTAAGGAAGAAACAAAGTATAATGATGAATATTAAAGTTTATATCTATAACTATGTAAATGCTAATATATAATTAATGCACTAGATGAAAAAATACGATGAAATATCGTTACTAATTTGGAATATTTAAATTATGAGAAAGCGCGTTAAAGTGTTTCTTATCTCACAACTGATGGTCTACTGTTCTGACATGCATTTCAGTATCGGAATCAGCCCCTTTCTTCGTACTATCAATATATTCTAAATGTTGTTCAACGTTAGTCATAGAATAATTATTAGAATTGGAATATTCTAAACTATTAGAGTCGGCATCGTTTGTAGATTCATGTTTCTCAGTCTTTTTATCGAAAACTTTAATGATCTTAACTTTCCAGAAACCATCTTCACCCAGAACGTCTTTGGTCTCCAAATGATAATGACGTAATTTGGGCATGATTTGGGCCCAGAATAAGTAGTATAGAGCACCAATACCAAAGATACCCCAAGAGACAACACAATGAATCCAGTATGGTAGGGTTTCATAAACGGATTCACCATCGGTTGGTGGAATGTAAGGACAAACAATTAAGTATAAGTTAACCAAAGTGAAGAAGGTGGTGACGACGTAACCTGCTCTGATTGGAGGGTTCCATTCGATCTTACCTTGTCTCTTTTGCCAGTAAGTCCATAGAAGACCTGCACTGATGACAAAATTGATGATATTCATTGGATAGGAGATCAAATTTAAGACGAAGTTATAAGCATCACCTGGAGGAGGAGCAATGATGGTGATCAAACAAATAATGAAATGTTGGAAAAGACCAACCATTGGAGAGTTGAATGGTTTTGATGAGGCAAAGAAATTAGAAAACGGTAAAGCACCTTCACGAGCCAGTTGTTGAATGATTCTACCTTGTGAGAAGATGACAGATAAAACATTACCTAAAGCACTTAACCCAACAAATGCAGCAGCAGCTCTTTTAGCATGACCACCAAAGACAATATCAAAGAAATCAGCAGCTAGGACAAGTTTCGATGAAATTAATTTTTCTTTTGGAACCACAGCAAAGTATGCAACGTTAACAAATATATAGATAATGGCAAGGAAAATCAAAGATGTAGGACCTGCAATCTTTAAAGTTCTAACTGGGTTCTTTACTTCACCTAAGGCATAATTTACATTGGAATAACCAACAAATGACCAAATCACATTATATAGAGCGTTAACAATACCATAAGCAGTTGCAGTTTCTGTACCTTCGAATGCATTATGGAAATTATGAGATTGATAACCATCTTTTAGACCACCAGCCAAAGCGACCCAGCCTGTAATTGAAATAAAGATAACAATACCAACTTTAAAGATCCCTAAAGCATTTTGAATATAGATACCAGTTTTAACACTAATAGAATTAATTAGAAATGCGAAAAAAATGACAGCAACTGCAATACCTCTTTGATTCCATTTAGTAACTTCAGTGTCAGCTGCCGTTAAGAACATAACGGCTGTATTAACAGAATTACCTGCTGCCCAACCTAAGAAAAAAACATATGAAGCATACATTGATGTAATGAAGAATCTTGGTTTTTTAAAGATAAATTCTAAATAATTTTTTTCACCACCATTTTTAGGTATAGCTGTACCGAATTCCATATAAACGTATAAACCTGATAATGCGATGATACCACCAAGGGCCCACATAATTAATGATAAACCAACGGAACCACATAAAGTATAAATAGTAGAAGACACAGCAAAGACACCTGTACCTAACATTCTATTACAAATTAAACCAATACAAGAGAATAAACCTAATTGTTTTTCACCTTGATCTAATTCAGTCATAAATTGTTGACCTGTTTCAACATCGGAGGATGAATCGTTTTGTTCATTGTCTATCGGAGTAGTCTTTGTTGTACTACCAAAGTTATAATTATCTTTATTGAACACATTTAACTGTGATATAAATGAAGATTTCTTCTCTTCAGACATTTTGATTATGTTTTTTATAATATAATGAAAGAAATGAAAGTGTAATAAACTCGAAAAAAAAATTAACGATTGAAATTATAATATATTATAGGGTATGAGAATATATATTTTCAGATTTTAGTTGACTGATATCTTTTAATCTAATGATGAAGTTAAAAAAGTATTTGAATAGTATTAAATAAAGGATACAATTCGAAATAGTATTATTATATTAATCATTAATATATATATATATATATATATATATACTATTTTCAAGAATACTCCTTAAACGAAAATGAAAAATTATAAAACCGACAAAACGACTAAAGTTTAACACACTTTTGAAGGTTTTGTTATTCATTAATTCTTAAATTAAAATTATGTATGAATAACGTCAAGATTAGTCTCATATGAATTTACGTAGTAATAGCGAAAAATATCATACTATATCTCATTGTAACAATATAAATGTAATTGCTTGATCCTAACTTTTTACTCAATAAAAGAAATTTTTGTTAAAGTGTGTAGATTTAAGTCTTTCTCTATTCATAGTAAAAAGATCGGAACAAGAAGTGAGAACAAATATAACAAATATGTGTATGGCTTAATGATAGTAAAATGTGTCTCTGATGATTATTTTTTCTTTCTTAATTACTATGAGAAAAGAAAAGAAATCATTAGAGACAAAGAAGAGGAAAACTGTGTTCTTCAAGGATTAGGAAGAGACAAAGAAACGATAAAAACCCTCTATTTCGACCCTATAATGGTAGTTTATTGTCGTTAAGGAGCAAATCCCTCTCTGTTGCCCCTCACTATTTTAGTTAAATTATGAAAATTTTGTCTTTTAATTACGAAAGAAGGAGCAGAAGATATGAAATTATTACGACGGTTGCAGAAAATATATATTAGATCATTTTCTCTTCTTCTTGTTCTTGGTGAGATACATGAAAAATATGCATAAAATGAACAAATGTGTCGCAGCTCTGCGGTGAACGTTAGAAAGTACCTGTTACCTTACTGCTGCGGCTCAAATAATTTCAAAAAATTTCAGCAAAAAAAATAAAAGTTTTAGCAACGTACACACAAATACCCGTATTAACAGCTAATTGTGTGTGCTGCATGCTGTATTTTTTGGTTCTTCTTTTCTTTTTCTTTCAAGGGAGCGATTGAACCGTTTGATGCCATTCAGTGGTATTTGGTTGCAGTTTTTTCTTTTTTCTCGGAAATTTTGAAATTTTGTCTTTCTATCTTTTCTCCATCGGTGAAAGAGAGGCTGATCTAAACAACTAAAGAAAGAACTGTTAGACGTACATAATTATATGGTTTAATAATAATTTTTAGTTACATTTGTAAGAGATACTCATAAAACAAATAACACATATGTACATAGTAGTCATCTCATAAATAAGAAACTACCTTCAATCAGAAAGAGATGCTGTTGTTCCCTTTTTTTGTATTATAATATGAATAAATATGTGGGAAAATATGGCATAATATTCATCTTTGTTGCGTTACTTAATATTTTTAGTAGATAGTTAACTATTTTAATTAGTTTTTATATATTTTTAAATTACACATTTAGTCGAACTAGTTCCTAAAAATCAATGTTTCAATATATCTTATTAAAATAATTATTTCATCGAGAAAATAAGTTCAGTATAGATACACCGATGTATTAGTTTGAACTTAAAATTTCTTTGGAAATGAATATCAAGATATCTCTTCTTTCTCTTTTTGCTTACTATCCAAATTTGTATCTATTTTGTTTTACTTAGAAGTGGAAAATTGTATTTTCCTGTGCCTCTCTTTCACTAATCTGATATACACATATAAATCAAACTTGATAGTACTTCTTTCTCCGATGGCTTGGCATTCGATTTATATTACTATTCTTTTTAAAATATTTTGGAAAAATATGTAATATCCAGTCACGTGCTTCAAACCCTAAATTATATTAGATAGGGTTTGTCAATATTTTTATTTTAGGGATAACTTTCTTATTTTTTCTTATGGAGACGTTGGGACAAAGGAAAAAAAATGAAGTACTATGAGGATAGGAAACTCCGTGCATTATAATTATTACATCAGCAGTAATAATTACTAGTGAAATTCATATAACAATTTGAATTTTGTAAGTTTTTTTATATTATATGGAATATTTAATACATAATAAGTGGTAATTAGAATTGTACTATGTATGACTGAGTATACTTAACTATCATTTCTCCTTTTTAGAAACAGCAATATCATTTGCTGATAGATCAAGGAAAATTTAATAATTGCATCATTGAATAATGTTTCTCGGTAGATATAGACACTCAGTAATACGCATAGGTCGATTTTGCACAAGATTACATAGATTACAGACTGTTACAAAAGTTAATAACTATACTGTGAACCCCAATAATGAAATTGATAAAACTGATGCTAAAAAAACTTTAAATGTTGATGATACAACTCGAATAACAAATTTAGGTGAAATTACTAACTATCTTATTAAAGATGGTGTACCAAACTTATTATTGAAAAATTATAATGATAACTATATTAGTGATTCAATAAAATTGAGATTGTTCCCAACTTTAGGATATATCCCAATAATTAATGGAAGAACGAAATTTAATGGATCAATGAATGCACTTCGTTTAATCTTATCTACTTTCATTTTGGATGTCAATATTAAACATTTACATATTCATTCAATTAAAAATTCTATTGATAATAGTGAATCAAATCCATATGCATACTATAAGAATTCACAAAAGATAATTGTCAAATGGTCGACTTGTAGTCCCGAAGAGAAATGTCACCATATTAATGATCAAAATACAGGAATACAAGCTCATCATCGTATTAGAGATGAAAATAAATTATCAAAAGGAAATAAGCATGAAAATGTCTTAGGTTATATCTTACAACCGACAAATAAGAAATTAAAATCAGCAAATATTGAAAGAGAGTATAAAAATATTTTATTAATGAAACATAATAGGGAAGGTGAACCAATATCTAGAGTATTGCAAGGTATATTCATATTCGAACTTAATAGAGATAATAGTAAGATAATAGTACTTACGATCGAAGATATAGAATTGATTGATTATAAGAAAAAGTTGAAAGAAAGTACTCCACATTTTGCTATTTGTTAAAATGTAAATATATATTAACTCATTCTCAATTTCACGTGCTTATTAAGTTTATGATATAGATCTTGTACATAAAAATAAATAAAGGATATATCAATTCCAGGACATTTCAGTAATAGTAACACATCCCTAGTGTAAGGTTTTTATATTTCAAATTTTATTATGATTAAGAATAAATGATATAATTCATATGATATATAAGAATAAAAAAATTATGAAAGAAGAGTGAAAAAAGAAAACGCTAAGAAAAGGAAATAATACTGCGTCTTCCCAGAAGTGCTTTTATATAATGACTTATTCCCCCTAGTTGGGGGCTTAATTATTTTTTTTTAAAAAACTTTATGCTAAATGATGACAAATGATTACTGGTAAATATATGTACCTGCCACATATATATCAATAATCGACCTTTTTCTTTTGTTGTAGAATAATTAATATTTTAAAAACACAATTTTTTTCCATTTTAGTTCATATTCTTGATATCTCCGATTAGATTGCATTAAATGTTCGTTACAAGTTTTCTTTTACTAGAAAAGAAATAAAATAATAAAATGGTTCAATCATTAAGATGATTTACCAATAATTTGTTTTCTTTCTAGATTATTGTTATTATTGGTCATATTACTCTTACCGTTTGAAAGAGTAGCATTTTCAGTAACACCATTGAAATCTTTCATTTCATGATCAACACCACCTTGATTAAAGTTATTGTTATAGTTCCATACTTTGTCAAATAATATCAAACTACTTGACATGAATCTATCATCGGCATCAATGGTGGCCAAATTATCAACAATTATACGGCAAACATAAAAAATTTGATATATGTTTACCATATCTTGCCATACATAGAAGGATGGTTTACCTTCATTTGAATTGTACGGACGACCTTGGTGAACACAAACAATAGGTTCCAAAAAATATCTGTAAATGAAACCATATGGATCCACCAAATATTGTTGGAAATTCACACATTTAGCAACTTTCTTATGGCTATTAGAAGACGAGGAAGAGGAAGAAGATAAAGAGGAAGAGGAAGAGGAAGAACCAAAACCATAAAGGTCCATACCATTAGCTGGAATCTCGGCATTTCTAAATGGACATTGACCGAACATTAAATAGAATAAAGTAACACCGACACCCCATGCGTCACACTTGATTGTATCGTAACCGTTTAGACAACCAAATGTTTCAGGAGCTCTATAATTATCAGTACCAATATTGAAGTCCTTTGAGACTCTATCCAAAGTAGCATGACCCCAATCAGCCAATTTGATATTACCTTCCTTTGTTAACAAAATGTTTTCCGGTTTAACATCTCTATGAGCAATACCTAAGTTATGAGCATAGGTTAAAGCAGAAATGATTTGATGAATGATTTTAATGAAATCTAATTGGATTAATGCAGGGTGACCAACACTACCTTGACGTTTCACAATAGATAAGAAGTCGTATAGATCACCACATTCACAGTATTCTAATACTAGGATGTAATTATTATCATCTTCATAATAATCTATCATAGAGCAAATATTTGGATGTTTTTTACCTAATAATTTCATTATTTTAAATTCATTCATTATACCTGTCTCGGTGTATTTTTGTTTCGGTATAACTTTTAATGCAACATATTTCTTTAATGTTGAACACCATGCTTTATAGACTGTACTAAAAGAACCTGATTGAATTTGTTCTAGATTACTGTACATTATTATTGATTATTGTATTATTTTCGAATTGATAAATTTAATATTAAAATTAATTTAATTGGTTATCTTTTAACTTATGAATTAAAAATAGAATACAGAAAACAAAAATAAATAAACTGAATACAAAGAAGATGCAATGAAATGATCTATTAAAATGGATTCACTTACCACATATATATATTAATCGTGTTTCTTAAAGAGTTGGAGAAAAAAAGAGTACATTCTAATTTATGTATAGAATATGAACTTGATGATACATCCCTATCCTTAAAATCAAGAAGAATATACAGCTTACTTAATTCATTGCACATTATAAAAAAAAAAGATAATAAAAAAAATGTAGTCGATATGATAATAATTTTCCGTAAAACTACCTGGAGTTCTTCTTTTCTTTTTGATCTGGTAATCATTGTGTAATAATCTGCTCTTCATACTCTTCGATTTTCCTCTAATATTCAAGAGATAATGGATTTTCAAATTAATATGATATTTTTAATTAGTCTACATAAATTTATGAGTGGGATTACATATTCTTGGTATTTTTAAGTAGGAAGGGCGAGGCTTATTTTTGGGGTAATAGTTGTTAAGGTAATCAAACCCAAATAATAAGTGTAAAGACTGAGACAATGTCAAAATAATAATATTATCATTATTACTTAACCCAAGAAAAAAAGAAATGCGTACAATTGAATATCAACATTCCAAACAAAATTAAAGTTATTTGCGATAAGTTTGCATTGAATAATTAACAAAAGAAAATGTATAATAAAACTTAAATTCTCAAGAATTAAAGTTCTTGTTGGGATGTCAAGAAACATTTATCCTTCTGTATGGTATCCCCCTTCCCCTAAATTACAGTAAAAATTTATTAGTTCACAAAATATATTGTATTGCTCTTGAGGAAAGAAATCAATGTAGGAAAGAAAAAAAATGCATGCTCTAATCAAATCCCCGAAATTATTTAAATAAAAAATAGAAAACGAAAGAGAGTTTGTACGCAGCGGCAATGTACCCCCTCTCCAACCCACCCATCCCCCAAAAAAATACAATATCAACACAGAATATTAAAAGGAGTTTAACATACAAATAATTTATTATGGGTTTCCCTTGATTACAAAATACATATTTGTAGATAACTACTGGTCTTCCTTTGTAAAAATTATTACTCAAGGAGAATTTTTGTATTATGTTAGCAAGAAAATATAATACAAAGGCTAATTACTTCACATAATCGTAATCAAAACACAGAAATATTATCATGATAAAATGCCTGTTGTTTTGTTATATTACTTGATTGATTTCCTAGAAAAGAACATAAATTACCATTACCGTACTGACGACTAGCTTCATTTACTGTCTCATTTTGTTAATTAAGAAAATGATCTGCTCTCCATTAACTACACGTTTTTACTTTCTTGTGCCGGGCCAGTAACAAACGGAAACGTATCTTTTTTATCTCAAAAATTATATAATAAAAAGTCAAAAATATATATCTTTAATAAAATATTCGAAATGCTGGCCAAAAATCACAACTTCGGAAAGAAATGCCGAAGAAAATATAATAGAAATAGAAAAATGTAAACCATCAATGGTAAAAAATATGAGGGGGGCGAAACATACGAAAAGGGAGAATTTAAACCCACCTCATCTTAAACTCCTTTTAGCAAAAAAAAAACTCTCTTTCCCCCCTCTCCTCTTAAAAAATAGCTTCCCCGTGGTTTGTTTTTGTTTTGTATTTTCTGTTTTATTTTATTTACATTAGTTGTTTTGTTTTTTTGATTGTTCATTATTTTCTACTCGATCAAAGGGGAAAGTGTAGTACCCTGCAGGAAAATATTTTGTTTACAAATAATATTAAAATTTCATAGGACCATCAATTTTTAGTGATATCACTACTCTACCATGACTACTTTGGTTATTTTTATCAAAAGAATTAGTAGCTGGTTGTGATGCTGATTCCTACAGATATTTCTCTGTCGTACAAAATGTATCATCAATCCTTAAGTTCTCTTATTACTCTATCCCATCTTTCTTCTTTTTGTCATCGCTTTTTTATTTCTTTTTTTGCATTCTCACTTCCATTCTCTTTCTTCTGGGAATCCTGTGGTTTGGTTAGAAACACGCACCATATCACAGATACACATACAGGTTCTAATTTTTAACATGCCGTACGTGGGAATTTCTGAAATACTTTACTTTCCATATAATAAATAAATTTAAGAAGTTCTCTTTTATTAATTTTTGTTTTGATCATGTTTAGAAAGATCGCTTGAACATAAACTTCCTGTAGGCATTTTTCATACTTCAAAATGAAATAATTATGCCCCGGCCATTTTGGGAAATCAAATGGAATGAGAGATAAAAATCTTCACTATATAAATTTTGTTTTATTGGAGGGATTAAGCTTTTAATGATTCCACGGAAACCCTTAATTTTTGTATGTTTCTTTGAAACCAATACATACTACTGACTTTGGTATTTGATTTAAAGCCTGACCTTACCATTGAAATCGATTTCCTCATCAAATACTAGGCAATCTCGGAAAAAATTTGATATTTGTATACGTGTTTTAACCATCGTTTTACTACGAGTAGGTAATTGCTTTTCTTGTAATAGTATGGGTTACATATTTTAGACGTTTCCTTGACCTTTATTTTTCCTTTCATCTCCAAAATAATATGGAGTTAAGAACTCCGCATTACTAAGCTGCCAATGTGTTCTCACCCCCCCCTCATTCCCCTACTCCCAAAACACTTTTTTAAGAATATTGATATTGATCAGCCTTGAAGATGAATCAAGGTAGTTGATTGTTTCGAGGAATATTCTCCAACTTGTTCTAACTAAATAAAAAATGTATGTATAGCATCGAACAAGAAATAAAAACACGTAGCAACTACAAGCTTGTTTGTTTTACGCATTCTATTCATTTATCGATTCTTATGAGATTCGAGTAGGTTTTATGCCCTACAGTATTAGAAGAAAGGTGCATATATGGAAACGTGTTACTAGTATTTATTATTCCAACTTTAAAGGATTGAAGAATTGGGACAAGCCTCATTCTTTTCTGATCCCTTTACTTAGTAGTATGATTCTTGTGCATATTTATGTTTTGATGAATTTTGGTTCTATACCTTTTATTTACTACATAAAGTCAAAAGGAAAGAAGGAGTGATGTTTAGAGACAATTAGCTACAAACACAGTCATGATAATAAGAGAGTTATTACTATTATTACATCCACTCACACCTTTTCCTCTTTTCTTGTAGAATGATCATTCACTATAATGATACAAGATTAACAAATTATGATTTGTAAGGCGTTACCTCCGGGAAATTGACAAGTTCAGAAATTAAAGGATAATTCATTTTGCAAGTACTATCGGTATTTTATTGCTCAGATTTACCCTACGATACTTCAATTATACAATTGTGTAGTTTTTAGTTCATTGGTATCTTTGATACTTGTCGTTCGAAAATTTGAGGGACAATTAATTTACCAATTGTAAGTCCCCCCACCCCCTCCCTATCATTCAATATTCTTCTTATTCCTAAATTCTTTCTGTGTGGATATAGGCAACCTTATCTCGTAGATAAATTATAAGACTAATCCAAGTATCGGCCAATACAAAAATATGGGACTATTTTGGTTTACCGCCAGGAGAAAAATGTTTAACAGAATTCTTGTAATTATAGCCATAGGTTTTCATTGTTATATGGAGTATAATTACCCTTCTTTGTTTTAAAATAATTAGAACATGTGGAAGAATTAATTAATTACCGGAAGAGTAAGATAAAAAATATCTATGTGTTTCTATGTTGTTATGTAAAGTGAATCAAGTTAATATTTACGCAGATCAAATATACACACACATGGGGTTATTGTAGTTTAATTTATCCCTCAATAAATCAATAAGAAAATAACACCCTAAGTTTCATAAGTAGTCTAGACTTTGGATTATTCTTCCTTGTATTATATTTGCCATAAAATTAATTTCATAATAGAAAAGAGATCATTATTGCGGGATAATCTGGATAGTGTAACTTCAAAGGCTATCTTTTATTATTTGTATAAAATATATATGTTGCACTGCTGGGGTTTTTGAGGTCGATGGTTTTACCCTATTGTATAATGTTTTGATCATCTAAAGGAGTATACCCCCCTCTCCCTCCCCCATTCTCACCCAACGTTCCTCCAACTTTGCTATTATTAAAAATTTTACTGTTGTATAAACGTGACAGTAGACTAATTAACCTTTCTATCTATCAATAAGTGCAAATCCACTCCGCTGTCTCCTATGTATTGTTAAATTTACAACATAACGGTGGATGATATTCTCATGAACAACAATTGCAAAAGAGAAATCTGTTCGATAAAATTGGTCTAAAAGGGAAATATAGATCCACTATCGAATCACTCAAATTTTTTTGTAATTTCTTTTAGCATGAATTTATTTTTACCCGTCGCATTATATTACCGCTATTGCTTATGTCAGCACATTTAAATACAATACACATTCCTCGTTATTTTTCGTATGAACATTCAGACACACAATAGGGCGTACAAATAACTACCTCCCACACATTCTCGAGGAATGCTTGCACTGTTAAGAAGACCAGTAGCATAATTTTCCTCCCGGAGAATGTTTACTCCGAGTAAACTGCTCATCCTTCAGGTTTTTTTAAAGTTTATTATATAATTTTTGTTTGTTTGTTTAAGAGCTCTCAGTTATTTATTATTTCTTATTGAATTACAACATCCCCGTACTTTTCTGACACACTACGTTCGTCGTATCATTCTCGATATTATGAACTATAAGTTACTCAATCTAATTCAGTAAACACGGTGGGATTGATATTATTATGGGTATGTCTCGGTTAAGTATTTCATTTTGGTATATTTTATGTGGTTGATTAGAAATTGTTGAACACGTAGTCATTCTCAAGTTATTGAAGAGGAAAAAAGTTAAAAAAATATCTATGCTACCAAAACATAAAACATATTATATTTTGATGAGAAGTTAGGCAAATTTTACTTAGTATCCCTCCTTATTTAATACTATTGGTTTTAATTGTTCCTTAATTTTAATTATCATTTTCAAGAACAGTTAGTCCACTTAATGTACCATATAGCTCAACTTGTCGTCTCCAGTCTTGCACGGTAAACATTTAAAATTTTACTAGTTTGGGTCGATAACGATGTTATTTTTCTTGAAAATAAGACAAATTTTGACGAAGAGAACGCGGAGGGAAGTTCACAAAAAAAGTAAAAAACAATTCAAATCTTCAACTCCATTTTGTGCGTGCTTTCTAATGTTTAATTTCATTTATTGTTTTTTTTTTTGGGAACTGCGGGATTACTCAAATTTTCCTATTCATAGGGTTAAAGCTTTTAATAAGCTATATGATTTTAAGAATAATCTGATAGACTATGCTGCATGATATTTTGAGGAAAAATTTTCGATTTTAATTTTATACCCTTCTGGAAGGTATTTCTGTACTTTGCTAGGTAGAAAATGTAGTATTGAAATATAGTAGAAGAGATTAAAAATATATAAGATTCGCTTCTACTTGATACTGAGGGAATGCTGTAGTCATTTCAATGAGGTGCATCGAATAAATAGCGCAGAGAGGGAAAACTTGATCAACTAATCAAGCTATGTTAAAGTTACTCAGAAAAATAAATGGTATCTTATCTAATCTACCTATCTTGGAAAACAGGGGGGACGAAATAGGGAGGTAACGGTTGTCTTCAAAAATTTATAAATTTCACTCGACAAGATATCAAGTAGAAACGTATCCCACTCCGAACTTCATCCTCCAGGGTTAAAAATATAGGTTTCTCGAATATAGAATAGTCGTAGTTGTTCATCTGATCACCCACGATACATTTCTTGGCTTTACAAGCTATCAAAAATCAAGGGAGAAGGTGGGTAAACCGTTGTCGTATCTCTCAAGATTCAATGTACCTTGATCTATCCCGATAATTAGTTCACCTGTGGTATTTTAAATTGAGATAAATCCCACGTTTCATTATCGAAAATTCTCCTACAATAATTCCTCTTTTTCATTCCTGGGTCAAATACTAAATTTTTACTATATTTGTTTAATTTTCCATGGAGCTTCATTTTTCCAATTTAGATAATATATTTCTTATAGGAGAAGAAACATTTTCTTGGTTTATAATGACTTTAATAATATTTGCACCTCCCTTGCCTTATATTGCCTTGCCTTGATTGTTAGAATCCTCAAAATCTCGAAGAACGAAAAAATATCCAAATGAATTACGATCGTGTTGCTACTGTTAGGGGAAATTTAAAATAATAATAAAAAATATGGTAATATTTAATCATGCCGTACTTAACTAAATTTAACACTTACATAAGCAGATCGTTAGCGATCAATTATATAGAATAATTAAGAAACTATGTTGTTTAGATTAGTAAAGAAGAGTTTTTGTATGAGTTTCGGTATATATTTCTTTATCATCGTATCATATCTGAAGTTAATGAGAAGATACATTTGAAAAAACAATTTTTATAAAGCTAGCAACACTAATAGTTGAAACTATAGCTAAATTGATATTAATTGGTGTTAAAAATCCCGAACCGCAACTATCTTCAAAAGATGAACTTGAGCCATCCTTGCTTTCCTCACCATTTCCGAATGGACATTTCTTTATTTCACCATCATCACCAATTACACTTGGGTGATTTGGAGGTAAATTAGGGACTGATTGTTTGGGTTTGTAATCAAATTTAATTAATGAACTTAAATATATCATGGAATATGTTAGAGGTCCAACTGCTGCACCAATCAAAGATAGATAATCCTTGGCATTCTCTGCAGATATATAGTAACATAATCCAAATGCCGCCGTCGATGAAGTTACTAAAGCACTACCAGCAACACCGTACGTACACCACACATGAGTTAAGCTACGTTTGATTACACTCAATGGAGCTATACTTGTAATAGCAGTTGACGATGTCAGTAGACCAGCATATAGACCTAAAGATGATATAGCGATGGCCTTTGAGTTTTCCGCTAATAGATTACCCATTTTCTTTTCTTTTTCTTTTTTGTTTTCTTAAAATGTTTGATTCAAATTTCCTAAATATTGTATTTGGAATGTATTCGACCCAATTATGATGATGTAAAAGATACGTCGTAGTTCAAAATTATCTTAAAGCAATAAGATTATATTCATTGTAATGCCTAATTATATAATGATATTAGCACCCTCTCTTATACACTTTCCTTCTCGTTTAATTTTTCGTATAATTCGTATCGGGCGATTTCTTCCGGAAACAATTGAAAGAGTTAAGAGAAGATGTCAAAATTCGAGACAAAACATAAAAGTTCAATTTACATAATTTAAAAATATCAAGACATTCCTTGATATACGGTTCGCAAAAAAACGCCATGCAAGAATACATAGGGTACAACAATAGTGTTTCATGATGTTTTTAAACGTATTATATACCCCCCGGAAGCTAATACGACTAACAGTTATCTGCTTTAGGAACTCATGAGAAGATCATACCAGATAGATCCTCAAGATAAATGGAAGGCTAATTAAGTACCTTTTTGTGTATTGGTACTTTAATCATTAATATTATATGCGTTTATTATCAAATATACTTTTATTTGCATTGTGCCATATATATGCAGGGCATATTAAAGTAATACTTCATATTATTATCGAACCATTTATTGGTAGAGAGAATGTCAAACAATAGTCCAAAGCGTTTATTACATCAAACACTCCGTATGATGTAACTTAAAATTTTGTCGTAATTATGATTATATAAGACGAACAAAATAACATATAGTTGCGTCTTTCCTGATACGGTGAACATTATGCCTAATCAGTTAAAAAATACTTCCAATATTGAGTACCAACAATGACATGACGACTAGAATAGGTGTTAATTTAAAATGTGGTTACCTCAAAAGGAAACTATTCTGTAAACCTTACTAGAATTTGACCTATTTTTGAATTGATCAATTGAAAACGTGTGTATTATATTATAGGAATTACATGATAAATTATTATTCCTTAAAGACTGATATGTTATAATTATCATATCAATTGGGTATCATTATTTTCTGTAATAACATAACTGAGATAATATATTTTCATTGATAATATAGCATCTTAGTAACTGTGGAAGAATCATTATTCAACTGACTTTGGAAGGGATGTAATGGCGCTGATAACTCAGAGTATACACATTATTTAAACCCTATAAACGTGGTTACACACTCTTTTTTGCCTCCAGTTCGCCTATTTATTTTTATTACTGGAAAATATTTAAATTAGCTAGTCATGGTCCATCTCAGTCGTGATGCAAAAAAGAAAATAAACAGCACTTCACTATTATACATTTCTAACCAACGATTTTATATATATTGGCAATTGGCGTGCCATGTTATTATATCATTATGTCTTCTTGGTATAATTGCAGTGACTCAATCAGTTATGCTCAAAATTTCAAAATGAGTCCACCACGATGTCACTTTAAATAATACGTTAAAGAGAAAATACTTTAATTTCAACTTCAGGTTCCTTTTTTTTGTGGTATTATATCAATCATTTTATCATTGCTATCCAATTTGAAGATGAAACTATATCAATACTTTGGACTCACTACTTTTTACTGCCTAATAATGAAATGACATGAAGTAAACTTCACCTCTTCCCCCTATATAGTGGAATTCACAACATGTACTAAGAAAAATAAATTACAACTAGATAAGACTGCCGTTTTGTTTCTCTGGATCAGACTCTCCTCAATTTTAACTATACTGGGTACTTTCTGATGCACAATTTAACATAAGTCGTCCGAGAAGGTGTAGGGCCAATCAACTCTCTAACCCATTCGGGCCTATCTTTTTGGCCGGCACAGCATTTTCTTTTTCAAAATTTTTGCTGGCCGCCATATCTGTAAAAAAATGCATCAAAACGCTTTCTCCTATAATAATTGCACATAAAGATGTTTAGAGCACCCGTTGCTCTTCGATTTTCTTGTGAGTGCTGAAATCTAACTGACGGTTTCAAACCATATTAGGAAACGAGCAAAATAATTAAAAAAATATTGAAGACATTGAGAAACTGGCGTTGAAAAAAGAGATTCATTTTATTTTTCGATCTGTGCATCTCTTTTACAGTTCCAACTAAATAAATAAAGCAAAAAAAGAAATGAAAATATATCCTAGAGTATTTCATCTTATCCCTCAATTGTTTTCTCGATATAATCCAAGTAAGAAAATTGAAGACCTATAGGATTTAAGGAAAAAAGAAACGATATTTAGTTGACGGCTTCTATTTGGAACCATGCGACTACCTCATTTGTTTACTTTTTCCTCTAGTTTCTAACCTAAACTGGATATATTTTCCTTTTAGGAAGATATTAGAAGCAAGTTTCATCTTGGTACAAATACATTGAATTAGTAGAAGGATAATTGACATAATTAATATCTCTTCTCAATTGATTGTACAAAAATTTGTTATTCTTTGTTGTTATTTTCTGCAACTCTTCTATAATTCTAATGACCAAAAAAAAAGATGATGGTCATCGGTAGGCTATGGACAATCATTTGTTTTACTGAAGAGTGCAATCTCCTTTTTTTACAGATTCTTAAGATGCATTGTCTAGCTGCCAAATAGCATAGTCGTACCGCTTCTCTAGAGTATCGATTTGACTATACGCTACTTAGATAAGAATCAGTAAGCTCATAAATGGAAATGTACATAATTACATTAATACATTGTTATGCAGCCATCCTGTCATCTTTTAACGTGATGATATTTATTTTCTACTGCTTTTCTATGGATAACAACGATGCAGGATCAAGAAATAAGAATTTTAATACTTTACTAACAAGATTTCTTTCTCATCGTTGATATTCTTCAATTTTTCATAAAAAAAAATTAAAAGAAAAAAAAATGAAATAAACCATTCAACGTCCAATCTGTATATATATATATATATATATATGAACTAATGAACCCCAACAAATATATTACAAACTTGGAATTTCAAAACCATACCTCAAAAAAAAACATTATTGCAATTATTTTGTTTTCCAGATTCTTTTTCTATATTTTTTTCTTTAAAAATTCCTGAGATAACTAATTTATTACTATTTGCTGCTTTTCTGGTTACAAAAATATTATCAATATACTTATTTTTTTTTTTATTAACTATGAGCTTTTATGATGAAATAAATGATCTTCTATATTCTGAAGATAAGATCCATAATTTTCAAAATTGTTTAAATAATGCTGACGATAATATAGAGGAAAATGAGATGTTTGATACATGCGATAAAAATAAATCTGACGAATTTGATATATTCAATAATGAAATTGGATACCTATCCAATTGTTCTGACTTATCACCAGATTCGTTGGATATAAATACAGCTAATATATTTGAATATACAGATTATAAATCTGATAAAATTGAAGATATAATCGAACCACAATTGAAAAATTGTAATATAAATCTAATCCCGGATTTTTCTTTGGAAAATAAGGGATCCAACTTCAATTCTCCTTCAAGTGTATATTCTAGTCAAAATAGTTTAAAGAATGGGAAAACAGAGGATATATTTGTTTTGAATTCTCAAAATTCAACTAAATCTTCGATTCCAATATCATCAGCAATTCACCATATGTCACTTTTGACAGATCTTGTTAAAAGTAATACTAGGAAACAAGAAGCGTCAGCAAAGTCGCCGACTTATAATAGTGAGTTATTTCAAAAAAGTATCAACGATATTCTTGAAAAATCTGCAAATATTAATACGCTTAACGATATCCATGGATTGGAATCTTATAAATTAATTTTTTCTGGTAAATCTAAAGTGGAACAGATACCTCAAGTCGGTAAGCCGTTAGTTAAAACCCCATCAAAGAGAAAGAAAATTATAAATTTTAATAAAAAAAGTAAATACGATAAGGATTTGACCATAATGGTGAAGAAAGCTAAACTTCATCAATCTAGAGGTGGATATTTAATGACACCAATTAATCCCATCACATCTAATCTATCAATAGATTCTGACACTCCGCTGACAGAGAAAATAAAAAATGACAAGTACTTGTCTCCAATTGCTTCGAAGAAACAAAAACGTGGGAGTTATAGGTGTAATCATTGTCCAGAGATGTTTTCCACTATTTTAGAGTATGCGGATCATTTAGATACATACCGTATTAGAAGGAAGTACAATTGTCCAATTCTCGATTGTCCTTGGAAAATTCTTGGTCTTCCTGGAAGATCTGATTTAAGAAGACACTGTGCAATTCAGCATAAGGATGAACTTGATGATCATGTTCGTGCTGCGCTGAATCTAAAAGAGGACGTATACGTAACTATTTCTTGTCCAAATAAATACTGTGATAAAACATTTAGAAGAAAAGACGCATATAATAGGCATGTTAGCATTGTTCATAACATGCCAGGTTCGAGATTCAACAAACGTCTAGCTAATGTTTTAAAAAGTTGTCCCATAGATATAAAAACTGAAGAGGAGAGGACCGATTACATAATGCAAGCTATGAATGGTGGTGGTACAAAATAAAGCACCGTATTAAATATATAATTTATGTAAGTAATTTTGTCAACTTAACCAATAGGTGTATTGAAATATAATATAATGGTCCTACTTATTTTATTTTTGAACGAAAATATAAAGATTTATTGTGGTATCAAGAACCTGTTCAGAACTTTATCTCTAAAGAACCCTGTTAAATTGGGAAAATATAATAATTAGTATTTTGTTGGGTTTCTTAACTACACGCGAACGATCCCATATACGAATGTGGTTCTTTTTTTCTGAAGCGACGGATGTAAATTTACCCAAAGCGACCTTCATGACATCAAGTTATGCATTTAATCATAATATACATAAATAATAGTATTCTTACTCAAAAAATTGCCACCCCTTACAATTATAAGTCATAACGAATCTATATTGTAAATACAAAGTTAGACAAAATGACAGAAAAAATGTCTACACTAGATCAGTTACGTAGGACGGGTACAACAATTGTCTGTGACACAGGACATTTCGAATCCATTAATAAGTACAACCCTCAGTCATGTACCACAAACCCCGCACTTATTCTTGCTGCTGCTCAGGATGATAAATATAAAGAATATGTGAAAAATGCAGTAGAATCTGGGAAGCAAATAGGTGTAACTGATGAGGAAAAAATTGAAATTGCAATTGATACCTTTTTTGTTGAAATTGGATGTAAAATATTGGAAGTTGTGCCAGGGAGGGTTTCCACCGAAGTTGATGCTAGATTATCCTTTAATAAAGAAGAAACCGTTAGAAGAGCAATTTGTATTATTGGATTATATGAGCAAAGGGGTTTTTCTAAAGACCGTATCCTAATCAAAATTGCATCTACGTGGGAGGGAATTCAGGCAGCAAAAGAACTAGAAGAAGTATATAAGATTCACTGTAATCTAACTTTACTATTTTCATTTACACAAGCTGTTGCCTGTGCAGAGGCTAACGTTACATTAATTTCACCATTTGTTGGAAGAATAATGGATTTCTTTAAAGACAAAACTGGCACGACATATACCCATGATGATGATCCAGGTATCTTGGCGGTCAAAAAAATATTTTATTATTACAAGAGACACTGTTATAATACTATCATTATGGGAACCTGTTTTAGAAACAATGATGAGTTACTAGCATTGGCGGGAATTGATAGTGTGACTCTTCCCTTAGATAAGTTGGAGGAGCTTTATACATCTCATGAAAGTGTTCAAAATGTGTTAACTGCTGAATCTAGTAAAGAAGAAGGTCACGAATGGGTAAGTTACATCTCGAATGAACCAAAATTCAGGTTCGACATGAACGAAGATACAATGGCAACAGAAAAGCTTTCTGATGGGATTAGGAAATTTTCAGCCGATAATTGTTCGTTAGAAAATATTTTCAGAAACCTAATTGTAGATTAGAAATCAATTACATAAAATATCATATATTCTTATTAGCGCTAAAAATTGAATATGCTCTGTTACTTAATTAGAAATACAATATTATAAATTCTTCGAATTATTGTGAATTCATAAGATTATTGGAGTATGGTCAATTTTTTTTCTTTTCGAGTTGCCAGTAATACGAACATGACAGTTCTTCTTTATCTGTGAGATTTCATTATCTTTGGTGATTAAGTATATCTTATCAGGTGATATTTTTGGTTTTGTAGACTCTTCGATCTCATCGGTATGTTCGTGGTTAATTTTAGTTCCTTTTTTATTTTTTTTGACACGGTTATTTTGTAAAATAATTTTGGAGTTTCGTATAGCTGGACGTTGATTACCTTTCTCCAAAGATCGAATGGATTTCTTCATACCAGGAGGTTTGAAAGGTTTATTAAACTTTAATGCTAGAGATATATTTCCTGTTTCATTTGATCTTATATAATCCTTTTTAATTAAAATACGTTTCCTTAAGTCCTTTTGACCGTTTTGCAAAAATGAATCCTTTTTACTTGTTCTGTAATTATCCTGCAATATTCTGATGTTTTCATCTTTTCTCTGCATATGTAATATGGGGGATTCTTTGGCCTTTTGTATTTGCACTTCCCTGTCATATTCACATAACATTTCTGTAATTATAACTACTGCTCTGCTAAAGATTTTATGTTCAACAGTATTGAACCCTTCAGCATCCAATATCGTAGACACATCTCTTGAATTCGTTATAAAGTTACTAGAAATGAGAACATTACTTTCCTCGGGATATAACATGAATCGATTATTTGCTGCATAATACTTCAATTTACCATCGTGCCATGTCTTGTGTTTCTTCCTAATTTGATCTGAATATTGACAACTGTATTCCACTACATGGGATATCATCTAATGCTTGCTTGTAATTTGCTTCTTTCCAATATCATGTGCATAGAAATAGATAAATAAGTACGACTATTATATTGGTTGGAGAATATAATATATACTTGAATATATGTGTATGATTAATAAAATACTTAATGAGTGTCTGTTATATAGAAGTCGGACCAACAAGTTCTTTGGCTTAAATGTCTCTTCTTAATGTTTTGTTTTTTTTGTTAATTTCGCTGTGTTTAGAATGTGTGTGTGTGCCTCTGTATAGTTTTCGCGCAACATTTATGATACTAAACTATTACAGAGAGCTTCCGATGAGATCCAGGACTATTAACCTTTAGTTAAGCCTACTCCAAACCCAACGCATATGCAGGCTAATATTAAAAAGAGTTCTAGTGATCCTAACCAGAAACATAATTTTCTAAACCATGTAATATCTACGTCCCAATAAAAATCGTTTAGCGGATCCTGAAGATAATCTTCCTTTAGAATTATTTTGTACATCTTGTTACTAGATAAACCACCACGATCTGCATAGTATATTATGTAAAAAAATGGAGGTATTATAATGCATGTTAAAATCACCCCAGTAATTTTTGATATACTGAATACGTCGCTAAATTGAGGAGCCATCGGATGATGGGAAGACAACGAGTCGTAATCCGTATATTGGAAAGGCATATGTTTTTCCATACTGTTGGGAATATCTGGAAGAGGTGATTCAGCTTTATCGTTTTCGAAGTCAAAATCGTGAAAAGAGTCGTCATATTCATTGGACAACTTGTTTTTATTTGTATATTCATTAGCATCACCATTGACTTCATTTGGTGATCGTTCTTCAGATGGAACAGCGGGAGAATCGATATATATACTTCCAGAATCTGATGGATGTTTTTCGTATGTACGAAATCTTATGGGAGACACATCTGTTGATAATGCAGGTAAGACAGGATGAAATAAAACTTTTGGTCTTGTTTGGAGAATACTGTCGTTCAAATGAGATAGCTTTCTATTCATGGAAACAGATTGTTTTCCAACAAAATTTGGTATTTGGTAGATTTCAGATTTTAACATTTGTGCAGCCTCATCTATTTGGGGTGCCATTTGCGTTTTGAATAATGGCGATGACTTATTTTTGTCAGTCTTTGCTAACTGATTGTTAAATTTAGATAACTGGCTATACTCAGAATCATTAATATTATTACTTTCTACACCTAATGTTGTTCCTTCAGTTATATCATATATTTTATTAAGAGGCGTCGCATCCGTATCCACTTTTATAAAGTTTAAATTTGAATTATTAGTTTGTCCAATATTTTGGTTGTTATTATTATCCCAATATAGTTTATCATTCAGAGCGGATGTAGAAACTGTTCTTACACTGAAAATACCAGGAGAAACATCTTGTAAGATCCCGTCGTTACTAAATGAAGGTTGATGTAAATTCTCAAGATCTGGAGTTAAATAAACTGAACTTCTTCCGAAATTATCGTCGTGAAGAGATTTATTGATGGATACCCTTGAGGTCTTAAGGAGGTGCGTATCCCTTGTGTCACTTTTTAGGACATTATTTGTTTCGGCTTTAGTCTTGTCTGATGTAGTAGATTCATTATTACTGTCTGTTTCAGATGATGGCGTTATTATTGCTTCGAATCCCTTTGTGAATTGGTAGGACATATGATACCTTTTGATATTGTTATTTAGATGCTAGCACGTATAACCTAAAAGATTCATAAATTAATCGATTGATTACAGAATATTCGATTTCTTAATAGTTACTTTCCTGTATTTTTTGGTTTACACGTTTTATAAATAAGAGCATTATAAGTAAACTATTAAGATTTGACATTCCAGTATATATAGGATTCAGATCTGAGATCTACAACAATGTCATTACAATTCTATCATATAAAATTCGGAGCACCAGAGAAATGTATCTCTCACGTTTACAGATTCACATATCATAATTGTATTCTCATATTAATGGCAGTATAACGACAGAGTAATAGTAGCAAAAGATGACCTTATTTTATTTGGATTGTAACAGGTAACACAGATGAAATTAAACCCCAATAATAAAAAGACCAGCTTCTAGTCATAGTTACACTATGGAGAATTAATACAATTCATCTCTATAATTTAAAAAAATTTCAAGAACTTATGTTCTGTCAAACCTCCATGTACATCAAATTCTTAACAAAATACAGAATGGGAATAATTAAATATTCTAATATTCCCAGGGAAGCGATAACTGGCGAATAGCTTATCTGTAAAAGGGCACACTATAACCTATCTGGAATAATGAACAGAATAACTTTCTGCTTAATTCGCTGTATTGGTAGGATGAAACTTCTCGAGAAAATATTTTGCTGGGTTTTTTTTATTCCTTGCTTCGTGCAGTGAAGCATTTCATTATAGATAATGCCGAGAATACTACGCAGTTATACTTTTATCTTCTTTTGGTTTTCATTTTCTTAAATCAAAACAACAAACCTCTATATCTTTAAGCTGGGCTTGATGTTGGATCTTGAGATCTCCTTGAGAAATTGGGCAGCTAGTTTGAAAAGACGACTTCCCATTGTTTACCGTTTCATATTTTAAAATATGTATATGCTTTATTAAATTCTATGCAGTGTTATGTAAGGATAACCTTTGTGTAAATATATATATAATGTGTATACTCTCTGGTACATTCTTGACGGACTGATGTGTCATGTTTCTTTAAAGTATTATTCAGATGCTGTTCTATTTTCTTTCGGCTGTCTTGTGTTTCATAACGTTCTTATGATAGCCAATAATTTTGATGGGAAATTAAAAGAGCCAAACATTCATTCTTATCTGTGGGGTGTTTTCTGTCATTCTATTGCTAATTCAATGGTTTAATAATTTCATCATACAACATTTGTTTCAAAATATCCATTGATAATTCATCTTCCCCTGGTTTCTTTATTTCGTTATCTAATTTCCAAAACTCATCCTCGAGGTCTAGAGGTGGGTATTCAGGTTCGTCTTCTGGGTCATGATATGTTGCCAAATATGGATGTCTTAATGCCTCTTCTGCGCTAATTCTTTTATTAGGGTTAAACATCAACATCTTGGTAAGTAGGTCTAACAAATCAGGGTTGAAGTCTCTATTACGACTATTATTGGCATGCATATTGTTATTAAGAACCATCCCCCATGGTAAACGTGGTCTTACCGGTAAGTTAGATATATATTCTTTTGCTCTCTTGGATTTTATTTGTTCGAAATCATCATAAGATGGGGTTCCCAGAACCTCTAAAATTAACCATAGTTGATGGTGGTAATCTTTACCCGGGAACAATGGTTTTCCACATATCATTTCGGCCAAAATACATCCTACAGACCATATATCCATGGCGGTGGTATATTCTTGAAACGTTAACATAATTTCTGGGGCACGATACCATCTTGTTGCCACATATTCTGTCATAAACCCTACAAGATTTTCTCTTGTATCCGAACTACTTGCTAAACATCGTGATAAACCAAAATCACAGACTTTCAAATCACAATTTGAGTTAAGAAGAAGATTCGATGGTTTTAAATCTCTATGTATTACTCTCGCGCTATGAATAGATTTTAATGCTCTAAGAATTTGATAAGTGAAGTATTGAATATGGTCATCACTTAACGATTGTTGGTTATTATTAATAATTTTCTGTAAATCTGTTTCCATTAATTCTTGTATTAAATAAACAGCTTTCATTTCATCTATAGAAGGCGGTTTCACTTTATCTAAGATGCTAATAATATTTTCATGATTGTGAAAGTATCGTAATAATTTTATCTCTCGAAGTGTTCTCGTTACAAACATTGGTTTACTGAAAGGTTGAATCTTTTTAATGGCAACTTTTGTGTTGGACGGTTTATGAACCGCTGAACAGACAGTCCCATATGCACCTTCACCGATGAGATCTATCAATTGGTATTGAGACGGGATATCGAATGTAATGGTCCGCGACATATCTTCTTTATGACTGAACTGGCTATCCTTTCGTTCTTGATATTTTTTGTTTTGTTTTTGTTTTTTTTCCCTTTGAATAGAATGACTGGGAGTCTATAATAGATGTCTAATTTGGCTTCTCAGAAGAGCGATGGTTATAGAACTTTTCTCTCTCTTATATAAGCAGATATTAACAGAATTATTAGATTAAGACAGCTTATGATAATAGTTAAGTTTAAATATAATCTTCTTTTTAAAAAAAGATATACAAGTAGTATAGTATAGTCGGCAGATATAATTGAAACCGAACTCCATATCAACAGTTCCCTCCTCCCCCGTGGAAGATTGTATTATTGTTTCTTGAAATGGCTTAGTTTCTAAAACTTTGATTTTGTCCCTCGCGTTTCATCTGCAAGCGTGTTTTCATTCTCTTCTTCTTATTACTTTTTCGATATTTTTGCTTTGTTTTCTGTTTGATTTTTTTCAGATTATGTAAGGACAACAACGCAGCAAATCAAAAGCTCCATGAATATTAAGTAATTGTTGTTTTGAGATCTATTGGTGTGCGTGGTTTCTTTACGGGGATTTTTTTTTTCTTTTTTTAGCTTTTGGTTATGAGAACCCAGGATGGGGCATACATTGCTGGCAACTTTCCCAAGACATTTATTCAATTGTCACATTGCCACATTTCATTGTTAGTTCTTCAATGACAGAAAAGGGAAACATCGTATGATTTCAATAGAAAGTAAGGTCTTAAAAGGGAGAAATACATATTCAACCGACGAAATACTATATTACTGTCGTCTTTAAAATGATTAAATGCGTAAATGTAAATGGCTCTGTTTAATATTATCGTAATCTATCTTTTATAATTCTTTATTCAAACATCACAATGGAAAATGGTTAAAAGGTAATACTTAATTATAGTAATGTTAATCGTCTCAAACAGACGATAATTATTACTGAAATAAATATATTTTCTTCCTAATGTAGGGAGTATATAAAAAGAAAAGTGACAGTCCAGGATTAAATAGTAAGAATTAATCTGTTTTCTAGAGTTACAACCCCATGAAGTGTCGCCATAACTACTAACATAGGTTATTTATATGTTTTCCACTTGTATCATATGTAAGAGTATATAAATTTATATAGGAAATATATGCTGTGAAATATATGTCCCATAGGATATGTTAAGTTTTTCTCATCTCACGTTACTGCATTATTAGAATTAGGTGATCAAAATATTTTATAAATTTATAGATTAGTGTCGTCATTCCTGGATTCAAACATTTTTTTTCTAGTTTCGTAGATGAGGTTATTTACTGTTGATAATTACTCTTGTCTTTTTAGCAGAGTCTACGATTTTGTTTTTTGATTGAAAATCCATCACAATCACACTATATTTATTTCCTTGTTACACAAATTCCTTTCCAAAGGGATAAATTTGATTTGGGGTTTTAATTACCCATTCTCTAGGACGTTTATGCAATAGTTGTATCAAATATATTATATTATTGTAGAGAATCTGAGATAAAGTGTTTGCCTCTATTAGTCTCTTCAAGCTTTACTTTATTTAATTCGGACATTTTATAATACGATAATCGATCGGTCTCTTTATAAAATATACAAGTTACATATTAAAGAACATTTAATATTTTATTTATATTATATTAAGGGCTTCCTTTTTATATCATTTTCTTTAAAGTTTGATTCTTATCAATGGTTGTCCTTAAAAGTATTTCTTTACCTATTTTAATTAAGTGTTGTGCATATTACTCTTAATTTCTGACAATTATATTTAATTATCAAGGTTCCCATATATATGTATGTGTTATATTGTAATGAATAAAGCTCTCTAGATTTGTTTAGCATAAGTTATTAGTGTTGAATATAGCAGCAGCACTAAAAAGGCTAACATTAGCTTAACCTATCTGAAGGTGAAGGTGGCTAATATAAGTAGAATTTAGAGTGTGCTGCACTGTCGTATATATAATAACACATGATATATACTGCATAATGTAGTATTCGTTCCCCCTACATTGGGTTTATTGGAGCTACATAGTCCAACGTTACTATGCACAAAACATGAGCAGTTTAACAACAGCAACTCTGTTTAACAAAATTAACTACTTTTCAATGAATTAATTTTGAAGTTCCCAATTATCCGACAAAGGTCTGTAATAAAACATTTCATCAACTAATCACTGTTATTATGGCAACTTGGCCGAGTGGTTAAGGCGAAAGATTAGAAATCTTTTGGGCTCTGCCCGCGCAGGTTCAAATCCTGCAGTTGTCGTTTTTTTTTTCTTCCTGGGAGAAGCTACATCATTTTATACGTACGCAAAATGGCTCTTCTCCCAGGAAACGTTTACTTATAATATGTACATATAATAGAAGCTATAAAGAAACAAATTAGGTGTAGTTCGCCAAATATACCCTTTTTCACTTAATATAGAATTAATGGCCAAACTAGGTAATGGGTATCCAAAAAGGAACGAGGCGCGTAAAGAAAACTCAATTTCTATATTTAGACAATAAAAAAGAGATCAAACGTGTATTTCAACGTACAAACAAATATTTTTCTTCTTTTTGTTTCTTGTTTTTTGCCGTGGCCTACCGAGCGCGACTGAAATGTTTATTTGTGAACATTTTCTAATCCCTGAATGGATTATTGAATTATTAAAAGGATCAGTTAATAAATAGAAAGATTGACAGATTTATATAGCAGTTGTTGTTAGCATCCAACTTCACATTTTCTTTCCTAAATACTCTATGATTAACACAGTATGGAAGTCATTATATCGACAACTCAAGTAAAAACAGATAATACTAATAAATATTTAATCTTCTTCTTGTATTGGTATCTATATCGCATCCGACGACGCTTCGGAAACTCTTCTGCGTTTGTTTCCCCCCGAGCGCTCTTTCTTTTGTAATTGTCAACGCGTCTTCTTCTCCCACTTTCCATTATGAAAATTATTATTATTCAAAGTGGAAACAGAGAAATTGGGGCAGTGGCAACGTGATGATAGCAGCAAGATTTATTGGAAAGGGGAAAAAGAGAGAACAAACTACATGAAGTTAATTACTTAACTGGAAAAGTAATACGTAGGTACTTAATTGATTACTTACACATTAAATTTCAATGAATTTTATCTTAATACCTCTTCATATTTTCATTTTGGGTTTTTAACTTTAATTAGTGACTTCTACTATATTTCAAATAGTTTCAATTCCAATCTTGGGATAAAGTTAAAGAAAAAAAGATATTCGAAACAATTAGGAGTAATAGTTACTGTATATCAATCCATCCTTTCATATTTTTAATTTTTCATTATTATTTTTTTTTCAATTATTTATTATATTTCGGGAGTTTCTTTAAACTCTTGTTATTAAAGGACAGTTCAATATACACCAAACACTTATCAATTCATTTATAGATTGGTTTATCTAATATAAATCACATTACGTTTGTTAACATTTTTGGTTGGAAGAAAAATTAATAATAGTAATAATAAAGTGGGAAAAAAATGAAACGACAGTCTTCAACGAATATTAATGAATCGGATCATAATCCTTGTGGGTTACTATGGGTGAAAATTGAAAATTCTAATGATATCAATAACCAGGCCTTTAAGATAGAAGTTAGTGAAAATGATACAGTAGATGATCTAAAGGATAAAATCCTTGAACGACTTAATAATACAAGATGGAAGTCGATGAATGATAACGCATCAATATCATTAGGTGTGTATACTATATCGGCATCTACATCAATTCCACAACAATCAAATTATTTACAACAGAATCATTCGATAGATGTTGATTCATTGAACTCTCCTGTGGATATTATACCCAATTTATTTCAAAAACAATCAGTTATTGCGTCTGCTGCAAGTGGTACAACAAGTGCAACTATGCCTCCTGATTCTTCGATTTTAACTCCACAACCAAGTATTGTATTGTCAAAATTGTCTACTTCAATACCAATAAATACCAATAATACGAATGGTCATCCGAATAATATGATTAGTAGTATGAGTCCCAAGACATTTAATAATATTGCACATGAGGAGCATGTAAACTATATCGAAACTAGCCCTCAAAGAGCATGTTCTACTAGTCCCAAATTGATCTCTGTTCCAAAAGCTTCGATTGTAAGACCGAGTTCAGTAACTTTATCACAAGCAACAACAAACAATAATAATAATAATAGTACTAGCTTGCCTCATTTGAGTAATTATATAAGTACGAATAATAGAGCATATACACAAGCAAGATTATCCCCTAACGATTTCACCCATCAATTGTCTCAGGTACAACAAAAACATGCAAGAAATATTGAGGGACTTCGTTATTCAACTGAACTTGTTAATAGAACAAATTTAACATATAGAGTGATTTTCCAACCGGATGAATTGGCTAAGAATATTAGACATCATCTATTTAATAATAAACAAACCGCATCAGATCCAATTTTTATTTTCTCTAATTCAACTTTATCTCTTGAACGTGGTATCAATTCAATATCAAATTCAAATACTAAAACAGAAAAACCATTGTTATCCCTGAAACCTATTGATGTAACGAATAATTATATGCATATTGGAAGAACAATTACTCCCATTGAGATAGGGGAATCATCTGAGAATCCGTATCATGTTGATGTGAATGCAAACAATGGTGATGACGATAATGAAAATGAAGTCCAAACATCTAGCCCCAATGAATTTAAGACTTATAAATTAATTACTAATGAAAAACAATTAAAGGAGGCTTCCGATCTATTATCTAATGAGGATCAAGTAGAAGGTATGGAGACATCCCCAAAACAAGCTATCTTATTATTACCAAAGGGGTACGTTGGGGATCATCACAATGGAGTTGGTTCTCACTCATTGAACGAAGAATTGGGACGCAGTTATGAAAATCAAAAGGACATTCAAGAAGCAATAACATCGCAATTAAACACTACAAAATCTCATTCCAGTACATCTTCCACAGAAAATTTACCGAAAAGTCTTGAAGTTTCATTGCAGGGAAGTGATACAACAGCATTTATACAACAGCATCATCATGTTCCTTTAAATGAACAAGAGGTTGGATTAATTGATCCAATGATTGAAAATGAATGGCATAAGAAAACAGCACATACCCACAATGATCAATCACAAGATCAGAAGCAGCAAGGAACAGAGAAGACGGATTCTCAATCTTCAACTGAGGGAGATAGCCCTGTGACTAAGCCACACGTGAGGATTTTACCAAAGGACAGACCAATTCCACATCCAATTCGTGCTCACCCTAAATCTGCTACATCATCATCATCAGCTCAAAAATCTACAAGTGAAAGAGTCTTTCCTAAGATCAATGTGCTTATCGTAGAAGATAATGTCATTAATCAAGCCATTCTTGGTTCTTTTCTAAGAAAACATAAGATTTCATATAAAGTTGCCAATAATGGTAAAGAGGCAGTAGATATTTGGAAAGAAGGTGGCTTACATTTAATTTTTATGGATTTACAGTTGCCAGTATTATCTGGTATTGAAGCTGCAAAACAAATAAGAAATTGTGAAAAAGAACAAAAGAAAGGTACTAGTAATGGAAGTGGATCTCCACCAGTAATCATTGTTGCGTTGACCGCATCGAATTCTATTGAAGATAAAAGAAATGCTTTGATCTCTGGTTGTAATGACTATTTAACGAAACCTGTTAACTTACATTGGCTAAGTAAAAAAATAACAGAATGGGGTTGTATGCAGGCATTGATTGATTTCGATAGTTGGAAGCAAGGACAGAGTAGGATGACCGATAGCTTTCTAAACAAGGTACCTAAGAAAGTTAAAATGGGTGTAATTAGTTAGTCTTTAATTCAACTGCACTTATATATTAAAATAAGTATTGTTTTTTAATTCTTTAATAAATATTCCAATTGTGTAATGCCAAAAATGTATATTAATTACTTTTAAACAATGCTAAGTTTGTCTTTATATATGTATATGTATTTGCCTAATTAAATTATGTTAATACTAAATGGTTGGTTTTGATTCACAACCAGGACAGCTGTGAAGTATTTCATGAATGAAGACATCACAATCAATGCAAAAGTCTTGAGAACAATCCGAACATCGATAACGTGAACTAGTTAATAATTTCCCAGTTTTATTATTCTTCAATACTGGAAAGCCCTTTTGACAACTGAAACAATTCTCAGTTGGAAAGTCTCCCTCTTCGGTTGAAACTTCACTAAAGGTCTTCAATGGCATCAAATGGTGATACGATCTAGCTAAATGTGTGGATAAGATTAACATCAAATCACAACATGGACATACTGTTGGTAAGGAACAAACTTTATTGTGACAATTTGGACAGAAGTATCCTCCGTACACTAGTCTAGAATGGCATGAACAAAATGTGGGTGTGTCTTCGTATACCCTAGTTGGGAAACCCATTTTAACTAATGTGAATCCCTTATTAATTCTATTAACCGGTAATGGAACTACGGCTTCATCAAATAGTTCCTTAAAATGGGTTTCGTCTAATAAAATTCTATAAAAGGATTCATCACCATAATTTGTTTGTTTACATAGTTCTTTGCAGATAGCTACCTGTGCAGATAATCCGATAACCTTGCAACGTATTCTTTCTTCCACCAGAGATGCTATTGTTTGATGTATATCACTAGGATCTGTACTTGATAGACTACCAAAAATTAGAAGTACTTCCCTAGTACAATGGGATGGGATGGGTAAAAGTAACCCTCTCGCCATTTCCAAAGCATTTTGTAAGGATGGGTTCCCCTTCGGTTCTTGTTTTCTAATCTTTTTTAAAGCATCTATGTGATCTTGGGGATTACCACTGACTTGACTGACTAATTGGGCAAGTCCATTTCTCATAATTACTATGCCTACTTGTGATATTGGATTTTGGTCAAAAAAATCGTGAATAAAGTCTATGGAGTATTGGATCATCATTGCATGTCTGGTAGGTCTCAAATCTTTCTCTGTCATACTTTCACTACAATCTAATGTTAAAATTAACGTCCTGATTATACCACGTTGATATGGTGTTATATTTCTTTTAGCAGCACGCTTCTTTCTTGCATCAATTAGACTAGCAACCAAGGAGGTCATATCAGTCTCCTCATCTACTGTAACTAAATCCCAACTTCTCTTAATTTCGTCTTCCCATGCATAACCACCATTTGTCCCTTGAAGATTCTCATTACCTTGTGTTTTTTTCTTCTTTCTTTTCTTTTGTTTATTCAACTTTCCATCATTATCTTCTGTTCGATCAACCTCTTTCTCCCTCTTTGATTCTTTAGCATTGGGATCAAAATGAACTTGTCTCTTCTGTCTACGACTGGATACTTTGATGTCATCATCGTCATCAGAATCACTACCTACTATTCCGGGATGCATTATAATTGGTTATTTGAGTCTATTTCTGTGATATCATTGATTTGTTTTAAGATCCAAAGATCCCAATAGGATGTTCACTACCTTTTTATTCATTATATAGTGCCTCATATAATGATATTTTTTACAAATTATGAATATGTCCTTAAACCTGTACACCGCATAGTAAAACTGTAGATATAAAGCTGTCGCCTTGTTATGTAAAACAATATTATATATATATATATGTTCGAAAATATGGTTAACCATATTTTTACTTATTCATTCTTATTAATCAAGGTTCTGAAAAGTATGATACTATTGTAGTGGTCTCTCAATTATTTCCTCTTTATTTAAAAGAATACGTAGAATCAACATAAAATTGTGAGTAATAAGCATATATAGTATATAACTTGATGAAAAGCCTTTAACTAGAATTTTAATCTTAATCTTAAAGCAGAATTAAAGAAAATTCGAAGATATCTACAAACAGGTATAAATCAAGTTAAAATGGTAATACTATGTATCTTTATTTGTAACCTATCAAAGGTAATGCCTATAATTGATATTTTTGAAGTTATTTAACTTATTGAAATTAGTGCAAAATTGCTTGTCATAGTCTATAGGAAGAATTACTTTACCTAGTGAATCTGATAATATTTATTTGCTATTGAAATTTAACTCTGCTGTTGAAATGGATATAAAATTTTACTAATAATTTTTGTTATGAGTGCTCTATAAGGAATTACTGTTAAACAGAGTTGCTGTTGTTAAACTGCTCATCTTTTGTGCATAGTAACGTTGGACTATGTAGCTCCAATAAACCCAATGTAGGGGGAACAAATACTACATTATGCAGTATATATCATGTGTTATTATATATACGACAGTGCAGCACACTCTAAATTCTACTTATATTAGCCACCTTCACCTTCAGATAGGTTAAGCTAATGTTAGCCTTTTTAGTGCTGCTGCTATATTCAACACTAATAACTTATGCTAAACAAATCTAGAGAGCTT